TACATGTAGATCAGACATCAGTCCACAAGGAGCCAGAATTGCCTGTGCAACAGACAGTCTGAGGTAGAGGATCATGGGAATTGGGGAGATGGAGGAAAGTAAGGCAGTTCACTAAAAACAGGGAACTCTTCACTAACTTAGGAGGGCTTCTGGATAGAGGGAGAAGGGACGCAGCCTCGAGCAGGGTGAGAGGAAGTGGTTGGATGCACCTAGAATCTCTCAGGAGGGTCCTGTTATGGGGAGAAGCTCAGAGGGTGTCTGGGTGGAGGGGAGGAAGCTGGCGGTTAGCAAGAACCAGGCCTAGAGTGGGTCTGCTCTGCCAGCCTGGAGGATGTGGGACTCGGTGCAGGAAAGACTTCACACAACACATGTCCAGGTGGTGGTGCGAGTGTGTTCATTAAAGCTGGGACAGTGAAACAAGGGCTTAGGGTAGGAAGAGGCAACAGGAGGGGGCTGGGCCGGCTGCTTTGGTTCTTTGGAAAGTCAGAGAAAGGGGACGTTGGGGACAGGTTCAGGGGGAGCTGGGGACCAGGGCCGCTGCCCATTGCTCCCCTTGTTGCAAGTCTCCTGGGGACCCTGAGAGTTTAGAAGATTCAGGCCAGAGAGGAAAGCAAGACATAGGCGGAGGGAGAGCAAGCCTGGCTCTCGAAGGTGTTTTTTTTAAAAATATATATTTTTTCTTTATTGGTTTCAGAGAGGAAGGCGGGGGGGAGATAGAGAAACATCAGTGATGAGAGAATCATTGATCAGCTGCCTCCTGCACTCCCCCTACTAGGGTCAAGCCCAAATCCCAGGCATGTGCCCTTGACCAGAATTGAACTTGGGGCCCTTCAGTCTGCAGGCTGATGCTCTATCCAGAGCCAAACCAGTCAGGGCTCTCAAAGGTTTTAAAGGCGGGAGTTTAGGGGAGACCTTATAGGAGGGCCTCAATAGGATATTATGAGTTCTATACTGATGTGACAAAATGAGATTTATTCCCTGAACTTCATCTTTCCTTGGTGTGGTGGGCACAGTGGCGCTGATTGGAGTTCTCTCTGTCTCCCTGAATAGGGTGATTTAAGCTATTTGTCCTCTGGTTGGGGACTAGTGAAAACCATTTACTCCCAAGGGTCCTTGGTTAGGGAAGATAGGATTTTTCGATTTACCGGATGGTGGTAAACTGCTTGGCCATTTACCTATTTGTCTCAATTTCCCTATTTCACTTGTCCTGGCTGACGGGCCTGTCTCCACAGGAGCTGGAAAGCCTGGCCAGAGGGGTGAGTTTGCTGCTGAGGCCTGAAGGGCACAAAAGAAGAGGTGAGGGCAGCCTCCTTCTATGGAGCCCTCTGTTAGGTCTAAACCTTGGGAGGACTTCTGTTTGGCCTATGTCTTCTTTCTTCCCTTCCCGCCTGCAGGGGTCTGGGCACCTGGGACCCGCCTGAGTCCGCCAGGCCAGGATCTGGGCGTGGCTGAGGCGGCCTGCTGCCTGGGGCTCCCTCATCCATCAGCCCATCCGCAGGCGACTCTCCCGGACAGGGGCCGCGGGAGGAGGGAAGCTGTCCGCCAGCCCTTCCCAGCTCCACAGAAGCTGGCTCCTGCAGAGGCGGCTAAGCCACGCCTGGCCACCAGGGGGCAACAAGCAGCTTGAGGGGCACTCTCCCTCCAGTTCCCCACCCACGCGCGGGGCACCCAGAAAGGCGGCGCCTCACCTGGCCCTGCAGCCGGCAGCTCCGTTAACCCGTTCCTGCCGGGGCGGAGGCCATTCACAGCATCATGGGAGGGCAAATCTGATGGCGGAGCCCGGCCGTGTGGCTCCGGGGTGAGCATCCGCCTATGAACCAGGAGGTCCCGGTTGGATTTCCGTTGCGGGCTTGATCCCCAGTGTGGGGCGTGCAGGAGGCAGCTGATTGCTGGTTCTCTCTCATCATTGATGTCTCTCTCTCTCTCCCTCTCCCTTCCTCTCTGAAATCAATAAAAGTACAACATTAAAAGCACCTGATGGAGGAGGGGTGCCGTGGAGAAGTTAGCCTTTCCGATCACTGCGGCCCTCGTCCGGGCTGGAGCTGGGGGAGGCCGGCATATCTGCCTCCGGGGGTAGCTGCGCCCCCCAAACCCCCCGTGGGTGCAGGAGGCCCCGGAGGGGAGAGAGGCGTGGTTTCCCAGCGCCGGCCTCGCAGGCAGGATGCGGAGGCGGCTACCGAGCCCACGCTTCGGGGTTCCCCTCTGCCTCTAACTTCCAGGACCCCGTAATGCGGGGGCGGGGCGGGGCGGGGAAGGGGGCGTAAGAGGGAGGGTGCCGAGAGCGAGCGGGGAAGGACCGCGAGCGGGGCGGGCAGACAGGTACGAGTTGGCCGGAGAAAGGACTGGGTGAGGCGGCTCTCAGGCGCCCGGTGTTGTGGGTCGCTCATCGGGCCCCAGACAACCTTCCAGGGCTCGGAACCCCCACATTCTGAGCTCGCGTCCGGGCCGCGAGGCGTTACACTGCGGAGGGCGTGGGGTGGGCCGTCCCTCCCGCCCCTCCCGCCCCCAGGCGTCTCCACCTCGGCGTCCCGGCCGCGCGGAAGGGGTGAAGGCGGCCCGAGCCGGCGGGGCTGAGCCGGGAGGAGGAAGCGGAGGGCGGGCGGCGGAGGCGGGGACACACTGCGGGGAGACAGCGCCGCGAACCCCCTCCCCGGGGACCTGGCCTCCAGGCCCCCAGGCCCCCAGAGGCCCCGCCCCCCGGGGTCGCGCTCTCCCCGCCCCCCCAACCCCCCCGCGCTCCCCAGCTTTGTGTCCCGGGAGGGTGGGCTGCGGGCTTTGCAGCCGAGCCCCAGCCGCCAGCTCAGTTTTTCCAAACCTTCAGTGGGGAAGGCGGGAGCCCTGTCAGGATAAGAGTCCCTCCCCCTGCCCCTCGCCGGGCTCCCCGCGCCGGCCCCAGGACCTTTCCCAACTTCTGTCCCTGGGCGACCCCGTCCCCTGCACCCCCTGCCCCCACCTCTGTGGGCTCCTAACGCCAAGGACAGGTTGGAAGGCCCGGTGGGCCTCGCAGTCCTGGAGATGCTGGTAAAGCCACCCTCTGCAGGCTGACCCCGAGACCCGCCGGGTGCCAGCCGGGCTCCCCGCCCGGGGCCGCCCCATCCCAGGACTTGGCCCCAGGGCCGCCGGGGGAGGCGGCCCCGGAGTCCCCCGCCCTGGAGGGAGGTGGGAGAGCCGGGCAGCGGGCTCTGTGCGGTGGATGCCAGGCCCTGGGCAGCGTCGAGGAGGAGCGAGTGTTCCGAGCTGGCACGGCCCTGCCCAGAAGCTGTTATATAATCATCACCATCCATCGCTGGCGTGCGCGGGGCCCAGGACGCCCCAAGGTCCTCCTCCAGGCCCGGAAAATTGTCTGCATCCCGATGGGGCGGTGGGTGCATCCCCGAGCGAAGCGAAGTGGGGGCTGAGGGGCAAGTGCGGGCCCCAGGCATTCCGCAGACGCCCCGCAAACCCTGCCCCCGAACTCTGACTGACAGTGCCCCGAGCCAATGATGCAAGTCACGGCGGGGCGCACAGTTAACCCTTTCTTGGGCCCTAGTTCGGTTAAGGAATAGAGGCGCTTCCTACGAACCGAATCCCTTCCAGCCCCGAGTCCCACCCCTTCGCGAGGCCAGTGGGGCCCGGCTGGAAGGTCCTTGCTCCAGGCCCCCGCAGGAAGTCAGCCCAGGTCGTCAGCAGCCCCAGCGCCGCCCCTCCCTCTCCCAGCCCCAAAGTAAATCGTCTGACAACATGTGGTTGCATGTGCACACCCTGGGATTCCAGAGACAGGCCTCGTGGCGCTGGCACCCCACCCCGCATCCCCGCAAACAGGCGTCCGCACACACCACCACCACCCGCACGGCACTTCCACCACCACCACCACCTCGGGCGCTGACACACCTGTGACTCAGATGCCCAGGAACGCGGTGGTTCCCGAGTCGGCCGGTAGGGGGAGCCGCGCGATTCCATCCGCGGGCAGCGGCCTCTCCCACCTCTCCTCCCGCGCCCCAGGGTCCCACCCAGAACTTGTGGCTGCCCAAGCTCAGCTCCACACCCCGGCCTAGTGCCCACGCCGGGGAGTGAGTCACAGCCCCCGCCTGGGGAGCGCTCTACGCGGCTGCCCCACAGGACACGCCGAATCCACCGAACTGACAGTGGACCACATTTCAGATGCCCCTTGCAACCCAGCTATTACCCCACTGACATTGTGCTGTGAGCCCACCAGGAACTGGGCCTTGTGCCCTCGGATCAGGACAAGCCATGTAGCTTGTTATGTATGTAACAGGAGACTGATCCGCATACATGGGGTGAACCCTTCCTTATGACAAGCATCCTGTTTGAGAAATGGCCTTCTTGCTTTGTTGCTCATATTTTTTTATTTTAATATTTTTATTGATTTCAGAGAGGGAGAGGGAGAGGGAGAGGGAGAGAGAGACATCAAGGATGAGAGAGAATCATGGATCAGCTGTCTCCTGCACACCTCACACTGGGGATTGAGCCTGCAGTCTGGGCATGTGCCCTGACTGGGAATCAAACCCTGACCTTCTGGTTCATAGGTGGATGCTCCACCACTGAGCCACACTGGCTGAGTTGTAGCTCATATTATACCCACAGGACCCTGGAGACGGGAGAGGAAATTAAACCCTAATTACATGGGTCAGGTATGACCCTAGATCAGGGGTGGGCAAACTTTTTGACTCGAGGGCCACAATGGGTTCTTAAACTGGACTCAGAAGGAGCTGCGGCAGTGTTTCCCCACGTTGCCATGTTAACACTGCTGCTGGTGAAGGAGCGGAGGGGAGAGCAAGAGAACCCTCCGCTCTTTCGGCTCCGCGGGCGGATAGAACAGCCGAATGGGCCGGATCTGGCCCGCCAGCCATAGTTTGCCCACGGCTGCCCTAGGGCCTAGGCCAGTGATGGCGAACCTTTTGAGCTCGGTGTGTCAGCATTTTGAAAAACCCTAACTTAACCCTGGTGCCGTGTCACATATAGAAATTTTTTGATATTTGCAATCATAGTAAAACAAAGACTTATATTTTTGATATTTATTTTATATATTTAAATGCCATTTAACAAAGAAAAATCAACCAAAAAAATGAGTTCGCGTGTCACCTCTGACACGCGTGTCATAGGTTCGCCATCGCTGTCCTAGGCCCTGGGATTCTTTCACACCAGAGCTCAGCCTCTCTGGGATTCAGTTTGCTTTTCCTTTAAGTGGGAATAATACCAGCTCACAGGGTGTGATGAGTCAATCCCCAACCCAGCTGGGTGCTGGCGCAGCAGTTAGTAGGCACTGGGATGCTCTGTGGACTGGCCCAGCTGCTGGCACCACTCACCCATCCAGTGAATTTATGGAAGCCCTACTATGAGCCCAGCACTGAGTGCCTGGGGAATGTAGAGGCGTAGGAGGCATGGTTTGGGCCCCAAGAATCTTTTGGAGCAACCGGGTACATACAGGACAGGCAGCCATCCTCCTTCCTTGTTGGTGTTAATCCGGTGGGTGAGGGCAGTGGGGCCCGGAAAGCGCCCTGGGATACCGAGGCCCACATCTAGTCCTGGGCTTTCCATTTTCCAGCTGTGAAGCCGGAGACTTCCGTTTCCTCCCCAGTCTAATGGGGCCCTAATGGGGCCGTCACGTCTTTCTCACGGTTTGTGGGAAACACTGAAGTAACATGTGAAATAAAAAGTACAACTTCATTTTCATTGCATCTGCTCTCAGGGGAGTGTGTGTGTCACGCTGATGTGTGGAGAGAGTTCTTGGGAGAAGACCAAGGTTTCACTTCCACAAGCATTTTCTCAGCACCCACTCTGCCTGAGAACTGAGAAGAAAACACCCAGTCGATGTCCTCAAGAACGGCCTGGTCTCCAGGAGAGAGGACCAAAGGAGATGCCAGTGCGGCGAAGGTGGGTGGTACAGCCAGCGCCCGGGAGTGCGTGTGGGGTTGAGGGGGTGCAGGCATCCTGCTGCTTCCCATCCGTGTGGGTAGGAGGCGAGGGCAGTGCTGTCCAGCTCTCCCCCGCGTGGGAGGTTGCTGGCGGGGAGGGGAGGGGTAGCAGCCCCCGCCCGCCCCGACCCACCGGCCTCCCCGCCAGCCGGCACGGCGCCTTACCGAGTCAGGCCGCTGGGAGGCCGGGGAGCGGCTGGGCAGGCGGAGATGGGGGAGCTCTTATTTTGACAGGGGCCGCGCGGCTCTGGAATGAAGGCAGAAGGAGGCCGCCAGCGCGCCCGGTGCGGAGCGTATTGGGGCCGGAGCGGAGCCGAGCGCAGCGGGCCAGGCCCCGGCAGCGCAGCGGAGCCCGGGAAGGCGGCGCGCGGCGGAGCCAGAGGCCGGACATGCCCCGGACGCGGGGCCGCTGCACCCCCGCCGCCGCCCGCAGCCAGCCGGCCCGACGCCCGCACGCCCGGGTCCCCCCGCGCCGCGCCGCCCGGGGGCTGCGCCCCGGACCCTCGGCGCGCGGCCAACAATAAGCGCCCAGACAGCCCTCTCCCCGCCCCGCGCCCGCCGCCCCGCCGGCCTCGGGGAAAGTGAAAGGAGGAGGCGAAGCGAGGAAGGAAGGAAGGAAGGAAAGAAAGAAGGAAGGAAGGAAGGAAGGAAGGAAGGAAGGAAGGAAGGAAGGAAGGAAGGAAGGAAGGAAGGAAGGAGAAGGAAGGAAGGAAGGAGGAAGGAAGGAGGAGGAGGAGGAGAAGGAGGAGGAGGAGGAGGAGGAGGAGGCGGCGGCGCGGGAGCTGAGACCCCAGTCCCGAGACCCGGACGGACGGACGGGCGCGCGCTCCCCGCCGCCCACGACCATGCTCCGCGACCGGGAAGCTGGGACCTAGGCGCCCGGCGAACCCGGACACCCTCGCCCCGGCCAGGCCGGTGTTGAGATCAAGGCATCCAGGATCAAAGGACCACCTCCTGCGCCCTCCGCACCTCCGACCTGCGAGCAGGACCCCCTTCCACCCACCGACCCGGACCTGGTCATGGCGTCCAGCTCCGGCCTGGCGTGAGGATCCCGACCCGCGAGAGGTGAGGGGCGGGCTGGGCTGAGGGCGCAGGTCCTGCCGAGCCAGCAGGGGCGCGAGGAGGGAGGTCCAGCTCGACCTGGGGAGGGGGACACAGTCGGAATATCGTTTGCCCTCGGGAACGCACCCCCGAGCTGTTTAATGGGCGGGGGCGCCCCCAGGGCTCGTGGAGGTTACGCTTGGGCCCCCAATCCGGTAGCAGCCCCAGAGCACAGTGGGGAGGGCTCAGGGGCAGCCAGCGGACCCTGCCACCCTAGAGCAGAGAACAAGGCCGGCCTGGGGCCAGCTGGAGCAGCAGCCCTGCCCTGGGGGCTTCTGGGAGTTGTAGTCCCCCTCCTAGGGTTCCCTACCCCTGGGGTCCCAGCACCCCTCCATGCCTGATGGGAGCCTTCCGAAGGAGGTGCATTGGGTTTGGGGATCACTGGGGCCACCCTCTGGCCCCAAGCACTGCCTGGGGCAGCAGGGGCTGTGCCTGGAGGAGTCTCCCCAGCCGAGTTCTTCGCGGTGTGGGTTTGGCTGGGCGGTGGGGGTGGGGCCATCAGAGTTCCTTGGAGGTGTCCCTGCGCTGCAAGGGGAAGCGGCCCCTGCCTTGGCCCAAAGGAGTGTGGGGAAGAGAAGGGAGGCTCGGCTTCTTGCTTGCCTGAGGCGCCTTCTGTCCCGGGGCTGCTGGGATTTGGTCTCAGGAGGGACCGTGTCTCCTCTCCCTTCTCCCCTGGGAGCTGAGAGGAGCGGGCTCCTGACGGTCTGGGATCTGGAGGCTGCCTCTCTGGAACAGTAAAGCCAGGATCAGCTTCTGTCTGTCTGTCCAGCTTCCTTCCTTCCGGGTTTCTCTGACACTTTCCCCTTCCTCTCTTTCTATCTGTCTGTCTGCTGCTGGGGGTGTATGTCTGCGTCGGTGTCTGGTGGGGAGGCCTGTGCTCAGGGAGGGAGTGTTGCTCTGGGAGAGGTGGGCTGGGCAGGTGATGGGGCACACCTGGGAGAGCTGCTCCCCACTGTGTGCTGCAACCCATCCATGTCTCCAGGCAGCTTTCCAAACGCGACCTCGGAGTTCGGTGGGCGTCCCCTGCCCTTCTGCCAGCTCCTCTTGGGAGCAGCCACTCCTGGGCTAGGGCTGCTGGCGGCCTCCTCTCCTCCTCTGGGTCAGGACCGATTCCATGGCCCCAGGCGAAGGACGTGTTCAGGCCCTGTCTTTCTGGTGTCAGCTCTGAGGCGCCTGCTGAGAGAAGCCTCGGGACCGGAGAGGATGGCAGAGCAGGTGAAGGGTTGGGGCTTCTGGTGCCAGGAAGGAAGGTGCCGCCTTCCCCAGGGGTCGGGCCTGAAGGCCAGCCTTCTGACCGCGTTGCTCACCTGTGTTGCTCTTAATGTGGGTGGGGTCGGGCTGATGTTGGGAGGGGGGCTTGTGAGGGCTAGGCTGCCTCTACTCTTGGGTCCAGAGTCGCTCCTGTGCTTGGGGCAGCAGGAGGTGGGTTCTGGAGGTCCATATGGAGACTCCCAATGAGGCTCTAGTGACTGGGGTGGAAAGTCAAAGTGGGGAGAAACCGCAGAGGCCTGGGGAAGGATTGCTGGTCCCCAGAAACTGGGACGGGCACAGCAGTGGGGATGTGGGACCTGGTGAACTTGCGATTGATCTGTGTTGGGCCTCCTTGACTTTGGGGAGTTCCTGCCTCCCAGCTTCCGGGTCCCTGGCTTAAGCAGGAGCTCTGGGCTGGGGACTCAGTTTCCATGAACAGGCAGGGGTAGCATTCTGGGCAGAGGCCTGGTGGGTGGCAGTGTTGACTCAGCAGAGGCTGGAATGCCTGGCACCTGCTTTAGATTAAAGGGGATGCCTGCAAAGAGGGGCTGCCCACTTTGGGGTGGGGGGGAGTGGCTGGGAGGGAGTTCCCTGGAGCCCAGGAGTGGGGGGCAAGGAAAGGACCCGAGTTGCAGGCAATGGCAGCTCTAGCAGGAGCCCCAGACAGGAGCTGAGGGTACCCCCACACTGCCTCTGGTGCCAAATTCCATCCTAGTGCCAGGGGACAGTAGCGGGGCAGCTGTGGGGGCCAGGATGTCTGAGTGAGGGCCTGAAAGGAGGTGGGGGCACTTTGGGGTTCTCATTGCCTTGACGCCATGTTTACTCTTCCTGGGGTGTCTTGGCTGCTCACAGTGAGGTGCTCCTGGAGCCTGGGCACTCAAGGGTGATGGGGAAATAGCATCCCTTCCTTGTCCTGAGAGCTTTGGGCACTGCCTGGGCGCTGACCTAGGGGGAGGAGGCAGAGGGGATGGCAGCGTGGGAAAGTGGGCAGCCACGTGGGGACAGGTTGGGTGCCTGGGGCAGGGAGCCTCTGCCAGCCCTGCTCTCCCAGGGGTGGGGCTGTTCCAGGGACTGGCTCAACCTGTTGAGTGCCTGGCTGCGCTAGTTTGGCATCTGGGCCTCTGCCTGCCGGCCCTGCCAGCTGCCCACCCAGAGCCACACTGCGGGCTGCCCAGGGACCTGGGGAAAGGCTGCCTGGCCGAGGCGCCAGGATGGGCCGTAGAGGCTCCGTCCAGGTCCTGCCCTGTGACTCCCAGAGCTGGAGGGCCCGGGTGGCTAAGTAGCTGGGAGTTGAGGGGCTGGGGAGACCGCGGGGCTGGCGCTTGATCGGGGGCTCTGGAGCCAGAGCCTGGAATCGCCTCTGCTGGGTGCGAGGCTCCGGCTTCCACCCCCACCCCCCGACTGGTCTGCACTCCTCCCCCCCCCAAGCACTGCCCACTCCCTTGGAGGGCGGGGGAAGGGTCTGAGGGCACTCTGTACCCTGGGAGGAGAAGGGTGGCTTCCTGCCCATCTTCCTAACACCCCGCCCCCCACAGAGAGGAGGGGACCCCCACCCCGCCCTGAGTGTGGGAATTCCCTGACACCCCCCCCCCAGGCCCTTGCTGCCCCTGCCCCACCCCTGAGCTTTAGGCCCACCACGGCGAGGTGGGGTGGGGAAGGGGTGCCAGTACCGGTCTGTAGGGGAGAAGGTGGTCAGCACAGCCTGTGAGTGGGGGCGGAGGCACAGGAGGGTTCTCTTCCCTCCCAGTCCTGCGGGGAAGGAAGCCTGCCCCACCTTCTTGTCTAGCGGTGGCTGAGGCAGAGGCTGTGTCTCCTTTCCCTAGGCCTCCCTGCTGGCCCCGGGCACCTGCCTTTCCTGATGCTGTACCTTCCAGTCCCCTTTCCTCAGGGCCTGGGGCTGTCCACCCCCCTCCTCCCAGGGGCTGATTGGCTGATCTGCACTGGCCGACTGCCCTCCCCCTGGCTCTCCACCCCCAGGCCAGGAATGGCCCTGGGTCCAGCATTTCGAAACCAGGATTGTTTTGAAATCTCTGAGTGTCTCTCCACCCCCTCCTCTCTCCCCACACCCCAGAGCCTAGTCTCCTAACCTGACGCCACACTGTGCATCCTGTGTCCTGCCAGGGTGCATGCATGCGCGCACACTAGCACATGGCCACATGTGTACTCCCGTGTGTGTGTACGTGAGTGTGTATGGAGTATGTGTGCTAGCACATGGCCATGTGCATACTCCTGTGTGTCTGTGTGTGTGTGAGTATGAGTGTGAGTGTGAGTATGCTAGCACATGGCCATGTGCATACTCCTGTGTGTATGTGTGTGTGTGACTATGAGTGTGTGTGCTAGCACATGGCCATGTGCATACTCCTGTGTGTGTGTGTGTGAGTGTGTGTGCTAGCACATGGCCATGTGCATACTCCTGTGTGTGTGTGTGTGAGTGTGTGTGCTAGCACATGGCCATGTGCATACTCCTGTGTCTGTGTGTGTGTGTGTGTGCTAGCACATGGCCATGTGCATACTCCTGTGTGTGTGTGTGTGAGTGTGTGTGCTAGCACATGGCCATGTGCATACTCCTGTGTCTGTGTGTGTGTGTGTGTGCTAGCACATGGCCATGTGCATACTCCTGTGTCTGTGTGTGTGTGTGTGTGTGTGCTAGCACATGGCCATGTGCATACTCCTGTGTGTGTGTGTGTGTGTGTGTGTGCTAGCACATGGCCATGTGCATACTCCTGTGTGTGTGTGTGTGTGTGTGTGTGTGAGTGTGTGTGCTAGCACATGGCCGTGTGCATACTCCTGTGTGTGTGTGTGTGTGTGTGTGTGTGTGTGTGCTAGCACATGGCCGTGTGCATACTCCTGTGTGTGTGTGTGTGTGTGTGTGTGTGAGTGTGCTAGCACATGGCCGTGTGCATACTCCTGTGTGTGTGTGTGTGTGTGTGTGTGTGTGTGTGCTAGCACATGGCCGTGTGCATACTCCTGTGTGTGTGTGTGTGTGTGTGTGTGTGTGCTAGCACATGGCCATGTGCATACTCCTGTGTGTGTGTGTGTGTGTGTGTGTGTGTGCTAGCACATGGCCGTGTGCATACTCCTGTGTGTGTGTGTGTGTGTGTGTGTGTGTGCTAGCACATGGCCGTGTGCATACTCCTGTGTGTGTGTCCCAGTGTGGTGCCTCTTGTCAGCCAGCAGCTCTGTGCACTGGCCCTCCCCTCTCGTTCCTGAGCTCTCCTGGGCCTTCTCTGTGAGTGTGAGAGCCGCCGCGGTCTGCAGGAGCCCTCCCTGGGTGTGTGGGTGATGTTTAGGGGTGCCTGGGTGTGTGTGTTTGGGAGTTGTGTCTGTGCGTCTCTCAGCTACACATGTCGGGGAGTATCTCTGAGGAGCGTGCAGTTGTCTCTTTGATGAGTGCGTTGCTGGTGTGCACACAGGGTGCTCCGCGTTTTCCCGCCTTCTCCTCCCTGGGAACATGTCTGGGGTGTATAGTCACGTCTCCCTGGAGCTGCCTGGGACATGGAGTCCCCTGTCCTTCCATAGGGAGCTTGCTGGCGTGGGGCCAGGCCTCCTGGCAGTTCTGTGGTCCTTGGAGAGAAAGTGGTAGAGGGGGGAGGCTTTGGGATGAATTGTTCCCAGGGCTCGCCTCTCTCCCTCTGTCCCTCATGGATACCCAGTGCCATGAGGATCCCAGCATGACCTACCGGTCCCCCCTCTTCTGGTCCGGAGGCTCCATGGTGGGCGTCACCGGGAGGCCCAGTGCTCCGAAGGAACGGGCATTAGCCCTCCACCCTGGGGTCACTTGCTTTTTGAGGACAAGAAACAGCCAGCTGCACCGGACCAGGGAGCTTGGTGGCTAATTTAAGGTCTGAAAGCTGACTTCTCAGCTAGAGGCAAAGAGCAAAACAAGACCAGCCTCCACAGAGGAGTGAGGGGCCTGAAGTCCTCGGGGTGGTGCCGCCCCAGAAATGTGAAGTGTTTGGGGGGCCAACTACCATTGCAGCAGATCCTGGGAAATACTTCAACAACAACAACAACAACACACATACTTTTATTGATTTCAGAGAGGAAGAGAGAGATAGAAACATCAGTGATGTGAATCACTGACCGGCTGCCTCCTGCATGCGCCCTGCTGGGGATGGAGCCTGCAAACCGGGCCTGTGCCCTTGCCCGGAATTGAGCCCAGGGCCCTTTAGTCCGCAGGCCACTGCTCTATGCACTGAGCCACTCCAGCCAGGGTGGGAAGTCCTTTAAAAAAATAAAAAAGACTGGCTTGAGAGAGAGAGTCATCGATTTGTTCCGCTTATGCATCAATTGGTTGATTCTTATCTGTGCCCTGATTGGGGATCAAACCTGAAACCTTGGCACCTCAGGACGGCCCTCTAAACAACTGGGCTACCTGGCTGGGCCTGGGCCGTCCTTCGTGTGCAGTCTCACTCCTCCCCTGCCCGGAGAGTGCTCTGCGGGGGCAGGTTCCCTGGTGCTTGTTGTTGTTGCCAAACCCAGGTAGTGGGGATGGCAGAGTTACCAAAGCCCACACCCCCTGTGCCACCCTGGGGTCTCAGGCTGGAACCCAACCAAGCTTTCCTCTGGCAGCTCCTGTGGCCAATCAGCGACGAAGAAGAGGGCTGGGCAGGGGCTATGTGGGGGACAGGGGCTGTGTGGGGGGCAGGGGCTGTGTGGGGGCAGGGGCTCTATGGGGGGCAGGGGCTGTGTGTGGGGGGGACAGGGACTGTGTGGGGGGGCAGGGGCTGTGTGTGTGGGGGACAGGGACTGTGTGGGGGGGCAGGGGCTGTGTGGGGACAGGGGCTGTGTGGGGGGGCAGGGGCTGTGTGTGTGGGGGACAGGGACTGTGTGGGGGGGACAGGGGCTGTGTGTGTGGGGGACAGGGGCTGTGTGGGGGGGCAGGGGCTGTGTGGGGGACAGGGGCTGTGTGAGGGGCAGGGGCTGTGTGGGGTGACAGGGACTGTGTGTGGGGGGACAGGGGCTGTGTGGGGGGCAGGGGCTGTGTGTGGGGGGACAGGGGCTGTGTGGGGGGCAGGGGCTGTGTGGGGGACAGGGGCTGTGTGGGGTGACAGGGACTGTGTGTGGGGGGACAGGGGCTGTGTGGGGGGCAGGGGCTGTGTGTGGGGGGACAGGGGCTGTGTGTGGGGGGACAGGGGCTGTGTGGGGGGCAGGGGCTGTGTGTGGGGGGACAGGGGCTGTGTGGGGGGCAGGGGCTGTGTGTGGGGGGACAGGGGCTGTGTGGGGGGCAGGGGCTGTGTGTGGGGGGACAGGGGCTGTGTGGGGGGGACAGGGGCTGTGTGGGGGGGACAGGGACTGTGTGTGGGGGGACAGGGGCTGTGTGGGGGGCAGGGGCTGTGTGGGGGTGACAGGGGCTGTGTGGGGGCAGGGGCTGTGTGGGGGCAGGGGCTGTGTGGGGGGCAGGGTCTGTGTGAGGGCAGGGGCTGTGTGGGGGGCAGGGGCTGTGTGGGGGTGACAGGGGCTGTGTGGGGGCAGGGGCGGTGTGGGGGGCAGGGGCTGTGTGGGGGGACAGGGGCTGTGTGGGGGGACAGGGGCTGTGTGGGGGCAGGGGCTGTGTGGGGGGCAGGGGCTGTGTGAGGGCAGGGGCTGTGTGGGGGGCAGGGGCTGTGTGGGGGGGACAGGGGCTGTGTGGGGGGACAGGGGCTGTGTGGGGACAGGGGCTGTGTGGGGGACAGGGACTGTGTGAGGGCAGGGGCTGTGTGGGGGGCAGGGGCTGTGTGGGGGTGACAGGGGCTGTGTGGGGGCAGGGGCTGTGTGGGGGGCAGGGGCTGTGTGGGGTGGCAGGGGCTGTGTGGGGGCAGGGGCTGTGTGGGGGGCAGGGGCTGTGTGGGGGGACAGGGGCTGTGTGGGGGCAGGGGCTGTGTGGGGGGGACAGGGGCTGTGTGGGGGCAGGGGCTGTGTGGGGGCGACAGGGGCTGTGTGGGGGCAGTGGCCTCTGGTCCCAGGGAGACAGGCAGGCAGGCAGAGCGCCGGCTCAGGGACCCAGCATGGGGAGGGCCTTGGCAAGGCATTTTCGGTTTATTTCTCAATCTCTGTCTCTGAGACACGCACACACACGTCACTGCAGACACCTTCAGGAGACGAGCCCAGAACTCCCCCCGGGGCAGGGCAGGGCAGGGCAGGGCAGGGCCGGGCCGGGCCGGGTGTCCCAGATGGGCTGTGTGGCACCAGCCTTGTTCTGGCAGATGCCTGGCCATTGCTCCTGGACCTGGAAGCAGAGCCCAGCACAGGCCAGTCTCCTCCCGACGCCCCATCCTGTGTCTGGGAGCAGCACAGGCTGGAGAGGGTTAAGTCTGGTTGGCAGGGACATCCCCTCCCTCCTGCCAGAGAGAGAGAGAGAGAGAGAGAGAGGTGGTTAGCAGCTTGCTCTAGTTGGCCTCTCTCCCAGAATTCTTTGGAAAAGAACTCCCCTTTGACCCCCAGTACAAACTGAGCCCAGCCACCAGCCTCCCTCCCGCCCGCCTGTGGAAGCTGCAGCCCCGCGTCCTGACGGCTGTGCTGATCCTCTGACCCCAGGCCCTCCTGGCCAGGCCTGGTCCCCAGGATTTTGCATCTTCAGGGGAGAAGGGATGTCGTCAAGGAGACCTCGCAAGGACAGGGGACCCACCTCACTCTTTCCCTTGACACAGGATCACCCTGGGGGTGACTGGAGCCAGACCCTGGGGTCCTCCACCTCCCCACCCCTCCCTTTCTCCTTCCAGGCCCTCCGGCCAGGCGGCAGGAGCTGGCTGCCTGTCCCGCTCTCCTGGCAGAAGGGGCAGAACTCTGAGGGATCGCTAGGCTCTTCCCCAGCTTCTTTCCTGCTCCTGGGACAGGGAGGGGAGCAGTGTGAGGGGAGCTGGTAGTCCTGGCTCCCAGCCAATTCACCAACGTGGGAGGGGGCGGGATGGGAGTGGGTGGGGGTGTCTCAGGAGCTCAGGGACTTCCTGGAGCTGCGGCTGTGTGTGCGTGTGTGCATGTGTGTGCATATGTGTGTGTGTGCGCGTGCGTGCGTGTGCGTGTGTGCGTGTGTGTGTGTGCGCGCATGTTTCTGTGGTGTGTATTGGGATGGGACTGGGGTTATGGGAGGAGGAGAGGCAGAGATCCTGGCCTGAGAGATTTGCTGGCCTGGGGCTTCTCGCTGGGACCTGCTCCATAGGGAGCCCCAGGCCCAGACCACACCCTTGAGCCTGAGCCCAGACACACAGCTGCCCTGAGGGAGGTCCCCTGCTGGTGTGTGCCCCTCACCCGCTCCCCACAGCCCCTTGCTGATCAGCCGGGGCTCCTGCGAGGCTTTTTGTCATGGGACCCTCCTCCGGGTTTCTGACCTCCCCTTCTTCATCCTCCCCCAGAGGAGGCGCTCACAGCCAGCCCCCTGGAGGCTGGTAGGGAGTGGGGGCGAGGCCACGGTGGGATTTAGCCTCTGGTTAACTAACTGGATCCCTCCCCAGGTTGGGGGTGGAAGGTGGGGGTGGGGGTTGGGGTCATCCCAACCACCCCCGGAGGGCAAGGTACAACTTCCTGGTCATCCCAAGCTCTTCTCTTTGTTGCCTGCTTTGGCCTCAGCTGGCAGAGTCAAAGCCAGGGTGGCCACCAGCCACCATAGTGTGGGTTCTGCCTCAGCCCCTGGAGACACACACTCTCTTCTGCTGCCACCCCCTCTTCCCTCCCTCCCTCCCTCCCTCCCTCCCTTGTTAGCAACAACTCCCTGAATTCACAACAAACATGCCTCTGGGCTCCAGGTCTACAGGGAAAGCTGGACCTGGAGGAGGCCCTTGGAGGCCGTCCTCAGGAGGGAGGACTCCCCCGCACTCCCAGCCACTGCCAGAGGACACACCCCACAGGGACCAGCAAGAAGTGGTCCTGTTTGGGGAGCAGTGACAGGTGTGGCTGAGGAGGTTTAGGGGTGGGGCTTGGACTCCACCCCACTTGACCTTTGACCCTCACCTGCAGAGTGGGAGGGGCAGCAGACTCCTTTTCTCAGGGAGGGGGGGCTGTGCTGCTGTCATGGTAACTTGCCTGATTCTGAGAGGCGGGGATCACAGGCATCACGGATGAAGGGTGGGTGGGCTGGGGGCAGCCCAAGGACTTTGCTCTCGGAGCTCCAGGTGGGCTGGGCACCAGTGCTGAGGTGGGCGGAGTGGACCCCCTCTTTGACCTCCTCCCCGGCGAGAGCTGTGGTCTCTAGCTCCAGCCTGGTGCACAGCAGGCATCGGGGAGTGGAAGGAGTGAGCAGACACCACTTGCCTCACAGCACGGAGTGCTGGCTCCAGGTGCGTGTGGATTGTGCACCGGTGAAGAACCCAGTTGCTGGAGTGCATGGGCTGTCCTAACTCTAGCTCTGGGCTGCACCTTAAGCGGGTGGCCTAACTGCTGCCGCCTTCTCTGTGAAGTGGGGAGCAGGAGTGCTTGGGCAGGCGCTGTGCTGAGGGTTAAATGAGAGCCTGTGAAGCCGCAGGACAGCCTGTTAGAGACGTCCTTGGTAGTTTTATCAGCTCTTAGGGGAACTCCGACCCCCAGGGGCGTTTGCAGGGGAGACCTGAGGCAGGTGAGGGCATGGGGGGTGTTGGGAAGACACCAGCTAGATTCTAATGCCCCCCCCTTTTAAAAATATTTTTATTGATTTCAGAGGAAGGGCGAGAGAGAGAAACATCAATGATGAGAGAGAATCATTGATCGGCTGCCTCCTTCACGCCCCACACTGGTGATTGAGCCTACAACCCGGGCCTGTGCCCTTGACCGGAATTGAACCCGAAACCCTTCTATCCACAGAGCCAAACCAGCTAGGGCCAGACCTGTCTTCTTGCTGCCTCAGTTTCCCCCACTATTGGTGCTGGCTGTCATCTTAATTACAGTTTGCCAAGTAGCTAATGGCCTGGAGGGGGCTGGGGCCTTAGGTCAGTTCTTCCCCACTTCTCCCAGCCTCTCAGGCGGAGGCCGCCCCCCCCCCCCCCCCCGGACTGTGAGCAGACAGGTCAGCTTCAGCACCTCCCCAGCCACCCCGGGCCTCGCTGCCCTGCTCTTTCACTGAGCAAGGCATTCTGTCCTTAAACGCCTTAAATGGCTGCTTCCTTTCCTTCTTGGCTAAGGGGTCAGGGACCTTCCTTGGGGAGAAAAAAATGGCAGCATGGAGCTCTGATATGGATGGTACCGCTTAGGCCTGCCTCGGTGCCCAGGTTCCCTGGCTCCCTGAGTGGGCGGGGCAGTGCTCATGCCTGGGACGTGTGTGGAAGCCGGGGTGGGCATGCCTGTCACCTTGTGCACACAGATGGGCAGGGAGGAGGCGTCCTGAAGCCCCGAGGACGGGCGGGGTATCAGCATCTGTGGTGTCTGAATCCTTTCCTAGGCTGCCGGGTGAGTGGGGCAGTCAGTCCTGGGTGCCCTGGGGCAGGGGAGATGCTGAGTGATGCTGGTGGGCAGGGCTCCTAAAGGCCCTGGGATGGGAGTGGGGGTGGAGGGCTGCGCCTGGACCTTCTGGGCGAGGACAGGCTGGGCAGCAGGGACATTGCTCCCACGAGGGGAGCTCACGGACAGGTGGTTTGGGTCTTCTGGGCAGTCACTGGCCACAGCCCTAGAGACAGTTGATCAGCAGGTGGCCAGAGTGCCTGGGACATGCGGGCACCCGGGTCTGAGGCCTGGCTAGGCTGGCAGGTGCTTTCTCTGGCCTGGGACCAGGGTGTGGGCTGGAATCCCTGGCTCCGCTCACCTCCTCCTCTGGGAGCAGAGGGGAGCACTCCCCTGGGCCCCGCTGTGGCTCAGCACTGGCCCGGCCTGCGCGGCGCTGATGGGCCACACTCCTGGGCCCGGCCCCTGCAGCCTGCTCCTCGGGCAGGTTGGGGCTATTTTTGGGATCAGCTGGGGCTCTGGGCTGCTTTCAGATGCACCAGCGTGAACAGGAGAGAGGGGAACAGATGGCTGGTGGGTCCCACTTGGTGGGTCCTGCTGGGAGCAGGTTATTTTTAGGGTTTGTTAACCCACTGGGGGCATGTGGAGCCACCTTGGAGGGAGAGCCCTCTAGCTGAGAAGAGAACAGGCCTTGGACCCCAGATCCCGGAGCCGTGTATCCCAGCTGCTCCTCACTCCCCCTCAGACCTCCACTGTTGTGGTGGTGCTATTGCTAATCCTCACCCAAGGCCATTTTTCCATTGATTTTTAGAGAGCGTGAGAGACAGAGAGAGAGAAATATCAATGTGAGAGACACATTTTGATTGGTTGCTTTCCACACACGTCCCAGCCAGGGCCAGGATCCAACCTGTAGCTGAGGTACTTGCCCTTGACCACAGTCGAACCCTTGACCCTTCAGTCTGAGGGTCGACGCTCTAACCACTGAGCACACTGGCCAGGGCCGACCCCCCCACTGTTTAAAGAGGTCCATGGCAAGAAAGTAGACGCCAGCTCTGACCCAGCCCAAACAGAGAGCCTGCCCGGGTCAGGAGAGAGGGGCCTGGCCCTGGGGTGCTCGCCTCCAGTGGTTTTGAGACAGACCTGAGGCTAAGCGAGTGGTCTGCTGCTCTCAGGGTTCACACTTGAGGTCTGCGTGTTTGTCAGTAAACCCAGGGGTGCCTGGGGAGTGCGCGCCGGTGCCTGGCCTCCGCGAGGGGTCAGAGGGAGGGCCAAGTTCTGTGCTCAGACCACCAGTGTGATGCCCAGGGGCTCCTGGGTAGGTCAAGTACAAATACCCGGCAAGGCCTAACTTCACCAAATGCCCATGGATTTGGGTGCCATTCAGGCAGGAAAAAAGGGGACGTCATGGTCAGAAGTGGTTTGTTGAGGGCTGAGTATGCCATAGGCATTCTTTTTAAAAAAAAAAAAAAAAAATATATATATATATATATATATTTTATTGATTTCAGAGAGGAAGGGAGAGAAAGAGAGAAATAGAAACATCAATGATGAGAGAGAATCATGGATCGGTTGCCTCCTGCACGCTCCTTACTGGGATCGAGCCCACAACCCAGGCCTGTGCCCTGACCGGGAATCGAACCACGACCTCCTGGTTCATAGGTTGACGGTCAACCACTGAGCCACACTGGCCGGCTGCCATAGGCATTCTGTTAGATAGTTTTACTAACAGGATTTCACTCTATGAATTTATCCTCCTTTTGCAGAAGGGGAAACGGGCTCAAAGGGCCGAAGGGGTGGAGAAGGTCCTGCTGCTCAGAAGGGGAGGGCTGTGCCTGGCACCATCCCCCTGACTACACCCAGCTCTCAGTCCCTGCACCGGGCCGCTGCCTGCAGGTCCTGGCCCCTGGGCCCTGGCGCTGGACCCCCCTCAGAAACAGGTTTAGGGAATGCGTGTGAGAAGGGAGGCCTGGGCCCAGGGGACCCTGCCAGTCACTGCTCTCCTAATGCCCTAAGCTCTCCTTGCCCGCGGGTGCCAGGACCGACACCGGCCACCCCATTTGGCCTTCCTGTCGTCCTGGCAGGAGGATCACACATCCTGTCCTGTCCGCCCCGCCCCCACCCGCCTGCCCACATGCCCTGCTTCCTGGAGGGTCAGCGTCTGGATGTGAACAGAGGCAGAGCCCGAGGGCCTCCAGGTGCGGCAGGTGCTGAGCTGGGGCCAGGCAGGCGGGGGTGGGGGTGTGGGGGGTGTGTGTCCCGGCCATGGCTGACCTGGGGGAGCAGAGGCCGAGGCCGCAGCGGTGAGGCGGCCTGTGGTACAGGCGGCTGTGCCAGCAAGTCTGCTGCCGCCGCTCCTCCCACAATGGCCCCATTGTTCCCGCAGCCAGGCAGTTGGGAGGAGGTGCCTAGGCCACCCCTAACCTCCACCCCCCCAACCAGGGGCCAGATTAACCCCTCGGAGGCCAGAGCTCCGTGAGGGCCCACAGGTTGCTCTCTTCTCGGGATACAGGCCTGGGAAGTCACCTCTCCCCTCCTGTGCCCAGCACGGGCTGCTCTAGAGAGTGGGGTGTCCCCCGGGTAGGGAGCAGCACTAGGACCCTCCTCCCCACCTTGGTGCAGGTGCCAGGGGCCAGGAAGTGCCGGTGGGCGGGTGGGCGGCCGCCGGCCCAGCTAGTTGGGCCGGTGGGGCTAATCCCGCCACCACTGCCTGCCCCGCTGGCTCCAGCTCCTTCCTTCCTGTGAAACCAGAGCTGGGTTGGGCCTCGCTCAGGATTTCGGTGGATTTAAAGAGGCAGCACCATGCCTGCCAGCTTGGCTTCCTCCCCTCCCCAGGTAGGGTCTGGGGCAGAGAGGGGACTGGAGGACTGCTGGCTCCTCCCTTGCCCCGGGGTGACCCCTGGCCCTTGCCCTGTTTGGGGACCAGGCTGTGGCCCTCCTCTCTCCCAGGCTCGGGCGGGTGGGGTGGGCGGGGTGGGCTGTGGTTTCCTGTGCAGGCTGTTTGCCTGGCCCACAGTGCCCGCTCTGCCTGGGCTTCCTGCCTGTCTTGGTTCACTGTGCCCCCCTACTGCTCCCCGCGGGGGGAGGGGACAGGCAGGGATTGGGCAGCAAACTTTGGGGCACCTCACTGCCAGGACATGCCCGGCACTGTCTGAAGGAGACCTCAGGCTTGTCCAGGCAATGCCACTGGCCCTGCAGCCTCCGGAAGGTCCAAAGGGCACAGACCCCCCGTAGAAGCCCCCTGTGCAGAGACCCGGCCTGGGAAGGCCCGGGCCAGGAGTTTCCGTGTCTCCGTAGGGTTGGGGTTGCCTGACATGACGCTGGGGCGCAGGTGGGGCTGGGCTGGAAACTCCCAGGCAGAAATGGTTGATTTGCATGGTCTCCTTTGGCAGGAGGGGGCGGGGAAGTGGGGGGCACTGCTAGGAACCTGGATGGGGAAACCCCTCACCCCAGCTCCTGGCCTGGAAGTTCCCACCGAGGGTCTCTGAGCCACACCTTGGTCCCTGAGCAGGTTTCCTGCTGGGCTGTGATCCTTGACCTCCCGTCCAGCCGGGGGACCCAGGAGGAGGAAGTGCCGGGTGCTAGAGGAGAGCTTCTAGGGACCAGGGAGACCTGCTGCCCTGGAGAAAGGGGGCTCAGGGGCTTGTGGTCTTGGGGGCTGCACCCCTTTAGCCAGAGGCCAAGGATCCCACCCCTTTTGCTCCCAGCAGGGCCCTGTCCTTTCAGCTGTCATTCAGGGCCCTAGCCATCCACTTCCTCTCCGAAGGCGTTTGCCCACTGAATGTGGGAGCGTGGACCCCCGAGTTCTCTCACTGGGTGGCTTGGAGCCAGGCAGGGAGCCAAGCAGAGGCTCTCTAGGCGGGGACAGGGGCAAGAGGCAGGTGGCATGGGTGTGTGAATGCCCCTACACCTGTGGCGGTTCTTGCTGAGCCAGGAGCTGGAGGGCTGGGCATCCATGGAGACGCTCCAGTCGGGTTGCCCCAGCTCCAGCCCTGCTTCCTGCCCCCCCCCCCCCCCCCCCGTCCCCGTCCCCAAGTTACACAGGGGGGCAAATGCTCTCACCCTTTGTCGCAGCCGCCTGCCTTTCCCTGAGGAGGGCACAGCTCCCTGTCTGTGAGCATGGCTCACTCCGCCCCCCCCCCCCCCCCACCAGCGGAGCCAGGGCACTGGGCTCCCAGAACCCCACCCCTTGCTTTTCACCATCACAGGGGCTCCCGGCCTGGCCGGGGGAGACTCTTCACTCATGGGGTGGTGGTCAGAGTAAAGGGGGTATGATATATGGTGACAGAAGATGATTTGAGTTGGGTGGTGGGCCATATACCGGTCTTGTCACGTAGAAATCCACACCTGACACCTACATGATCCTCTGAACCAGTGTCACCCCAATCAGTTTAATTTAAAAAACTGAACCCAGAGGAAGGACCCAGCCCTCCTGCCTAACATCCCCAGGCCTTCCCGCACTCTCCTGGGATTGTGTAAGGAGGCGGGCCTCTGGGAGCTGGGCCCACTCCTGGGGATAAAAGTGGGAGGGGGTGCGATGGGAAAGTCCTGACTCATCCCTGCCTGACTCAGCTTGCTCTGTGGCAGGAGAGCTCAGAGCCTTGGCCGCGGGAGACGCTGGAGAAGCCCATGTCCTAACAGCCCCCCCCCCCCCCCCCCCCCCCCCCCCGCAGCTGAGTACAGGTCCAGTATTCACAGCTGTAAACCTAGGAGGGGGGTGGGCCTGGCCCTGGCCCTGCCCCCAAGGGGCCTGGCCCAGTGGCTGGCATGTGGGAAGCCAGCCCGCCTGTTACAGGCTCCACGCGCTGTCCTGGCCCCGCAGAGGGGCACTGCTGTGTTGGGGACACCATGGGCGGGGGTCTTGGCACTTCCACTTCTTGGTCCCTTCCTTTTCCTAGACCTCAGTGTCCTCATGGTGAAATGGATGACTAAACCCGACCCTCGCCCTGGCCAGCTTGGCTCAATGGCGAATGTCACCGTCCGACTGAAGGGTCTCAGGTTCAAGTCTTGGTCAAAAGCACGTACCTCCCCCGTCGGGGAGGCAACCAGTCACTGCCTCTCTCACAGGACGTTTCTCTCTCTCTCTTCCCTTCCACTCTCTCTCAGTGGAAAAATCTGAGGATTAAAAACAAATAAACAAACTACCTCCCAGTAGGTGGTAAGCAGTGAGGCTAAAGGATAAAGGAGGTGGTGGAGCCTGAGACCCACCTCTGCTCCAACCCGAGCTGGTGCCGGGAAGGGCCCTGGACTTTGAAACCTTCTCCTGAGGCCCCTCCCTTCCCAGAGACAGATCTGAGCCCGAAGACTCATGTGCCCGGGGTTTAGTTAGGACCGTTAGACTCTCACGGGGGCCCAGGGGGGTCCTGGTCCCTGGTCCCAGCCTAGCCTAGCCTCCAGCCGCCGGGTGGGGAGCAGCGCCGGGTGGGGAGCAGCGGGACTGGGCACCAGTGCCTGGTGGGTCTGGTCTGTCACCTGGTCTAGGCTGCAGGCCCAGGACCCTCCCTACTCCCTCCCCAGCATCGGCGGGGGGGGGGGGGGGGGGGGACGGAGCGAGGCTTCTGCTGGTGTGTTTGTTGGGATGTATCCATGGCCCTGTGTGTGTTTCTCTGTGACTACCGCTGCTAGGGCTCCTCTGGGGCGGGCCTCAGTCTTTCCATCTGTGCAATGAGCCGGCAGGGCGCGCGCTCTGCCCTGCGGCAGCCCTAGGGCCGGGGCGGCTGGGTGGCTCCCTGGGTGCGCCCGGCGCCCTCCAGCACCCCCGCGAGGGGAGGCGTGGGCGCTCCTCCGCTTCCCGGGCTCCGTGCGTGTCTTTGTCTCCCGTCCACGTGGGAGCTGGGAGTGAGTCAGAGTTCGGCCGCCGTTGCTCCCGCAGCCCCTGCCCCGCGGCGCCCGCGCTCAGCCGGGGCCCTGCGGCCGTGCAGCCCGGGCCGAGGGCGCCGCCGTCCCGGCGATCGGCTCCCGCGCCGTCGCCGTCGCTCGCTGGCTGGCTCTGCGGCCTCCTCTGCCCCGCGCGGGGGTGGGGTGGGCGCGGGGAGGGCTGCATTCTTGCGGTTGGGGAGGAATCCGAGCCGCGTCGCCGGTCTCCAGCCGCGCCAGCTGCAGCCGGGCCCCAGCCTCGCTGCCCGCCCGGGCCTGCCGGGATGGGCTCGGGCCCGGCCCCGGGCTGAGCGCGGCAGAGCCCGCATCCCCGCTGCCCACGTCGGGGGCGCCTGGGAGGGAAGCTGCGCTGGGGAGTGGGTGGGTCGCGAGGGGCACCCTGCCCGGGGTGCGGGGTGTGCTGGGAGAGAGAGGGCCCCAGGGTGCCAGGCTGCCCCCCGTGGGCACCATCGCACCCCCTCTCTCCAGTGCTTTCCGCCTGGCCGGGCCGTGCTAGAGAGGCCAGCTCCCTGCGGGTCAGTGCGGGCGGGAGGCTAGGACTAGCCTCTAGGACAGACCCCGCCTAGCAGTCGCTCCTCTCCATCACCCTGTCCAGGTCCCTAGTCTAGGGCTGCTGGGTCCTCCCTCTGCCCCTCCCCTCCTCACCCCCTCCCCAAGTCACAAGTTTTCTCTTTGGGGCTTGTTGCTGCAGTCCCTGCTCCAGTACCGAGTACCTGCTGGGCCCTGGGCACGCAGGGGCCGTAGCCCCACTGTGTGTGGGAGCCATGAGGATCCTGGCTAACAAGACAAGGTGTGTGGGTGTCATGGAGGGTGGGACGTGTGTGTGTGGAGTGTGGGGAAGGGAGGGGCCCAGGAGCCATGGGGCTGAGCTGTGCTGGCTTGGGGATCCGGCTCCCTGGCACCCAGCTCAAGGGGGGTCCGAATGGGAAGGCCTGCCCTGAGCCAGGAGCCCAGCCTGAGCGCCTGGACCCAGGGGGCAGGGGATGGCACCCAGCTCAAGGGGGGTCCGAATGGGAAGGCCTGCCCTGAGCCAGGAGCCCAGCCTGAGCGCCTGGACCCAGGGGGCAGGGGATGGCACCCAGCTCAAGGGGGACCCAAATGGGAAGGCCTGCCCTGAGCCAGGAGCCCAGCCTGAGCACCTGGACCCGGGGGGCAGGGGGATGGCACCCAGCTAGGCCTGCTGTGTAGTCCCTTCAGCCTTTTCTGCTGAGAAACAGTTTGAGTGGAACCCCTACCTCCCACCCCACTGTGGGTCCCCTGGTGCCCTCTGGCCCCAGTCTTGCTGGGAGGGGGTGGCCAGCCTTCCTCCCTTCCCCAGGAGGAGCCTGCAGACAGGCCAGGCGGCTGCAGGACAGCGGAGCTGAAATAAATCTGAGCTGGTGTGGAATGAGGGGGATAAATATCCTCTCCCAGTGATGTGATCTTTCCAGCGGCTATTAATAGGTCTCCGGGGATGGGGAGGTGGTGGGGGGAGCCAGCTGGATCTTAAAGGGCCCACAGCCTTGGAATCCTTGGCTGTGAGCTGCACTCCAGTCTGCTCCACACACCACTCCCCTTCCCCTTTCTTCCTGCTCCCGCCTGCCCGCCAGGCCTCTGGAGGCTTCCCCTCCTGCTCTGGGGAGCTGTCTGGACCAGTGGGTACCAACCACTCGGTGGTGCTTTCCCCCACTTCCCCGGGGACCAGGGCTGGGCATGAGTGGTGACCCTCAGGTCCTGTGCCCCTCCCTGTTGGACTGGGACACGTGGAAGTTGAGGTTTGGGACTTTGGAAGGAATCCAGACAGCAGACCCTAGAAAAGAGGATGCTAAATGTTGGTCAGGTGCTAGCGTGTGAGGGTGGTGGTGCCTGGAGGCTTGCAGCCTGAGGGGTGTTGGGCTGTGGGTGGATCTGCCAGGAAAGGCTCTGGTCTTCATTTGAATTGTGGGGACTGAGGGTGGAGGGTGCCCCATCTTCACTCTCCAAGGTGAATGGCATCAGCCCTTGTCTGAGGAGCAGGGGAAGGAGGTTGGAATAAGCTGGGCATCTTAAGATGCCACTCAGCCCTCCCTCCCCTCCCAGTAGGTGAGGCAGGAGGGGCAGGCGTGCTAAGCCCCTGTCACGATTAACCTTTCCTGTCTCTCTTGCCTTCTCCCAGGTTGCCCCACCCCAGGAGGAGAGAAGCTCCAGGGAGCCCACCACTGTCCCCCCGTGGCCACTGCCCCCCTGCCCCATCCAAACCAATGCACCCAGAAAATAAGCTGACCAATCATGGCAAGACAGGGAATGGTGGGGCCCAATCCCAGCATCAGAATGTGAACCAAGGACCCACCTGCAACCTGGGCTCGAAGGGTGTGGGGGCGGGGAACCATGGGGCCAAGGCCAACCAGATTTCACCCAGCAACTCCAGTCTGAAGAACACCCAGGCCCAGGCCGGGGTGCCCCCTTTCAGCTCGCTCAAGGGCAAAGTGAAGAGGGAGCGGAGTGTGTCTGTGGACTCTGGAGAGCAGCGTGAGGCTGGGACGCCCTCCCTGGACTCAGAGGCCAAAGGTACCCCCTTTTCTGACCCCCAGGAGTCCAGCATGTTCGACAGCCCATGGCCCACACTTGTGCGGAGCCCATCTTTCTGTCCCCTTCCCAGTCCTCATCCCCTGCTTCTCTCCAGCATGTATGTGGGGACACCTTTCTCTTATCCCCGTTACACCCACCCACCGGTGGTTTTCTCAGGATTGGGAGTGGCCAGGGGGGAGATTTGTCATCCTTAGGTGCCACCCGTGCTGGGGCCACCCAGTGGTGGGGTTCCCAGTCAGTCTCTTCCTCTCCGGCTGTCCCACCAGAACCTCCAGGGGAGGAGGAAGGTGCTCCGTGAGGAGGAGCAGGCCCACACCCCCCAGGAGCCTCCTGGCTCTGGGCTGGTGGGAGCTGCTGCAGCCACTAGCCTGGAAGAGTAGCAGAGGCCTCCCCCTCCCCCGCCCCAGCCTTAATTAGAACCAGTTGTGCTTGGTGCTGGTTGGGGGAGGGGAGGCAGGCCGTGGGGCTGTAGAGAGAAATCAGGAACAAATGGTGGTGTGGTGGGGGCCAAGGGCTGGCGAAATGCCCACCACAGCCTGGGCATCGCCCGGGGGTATCTGGGAGAATGGGCCTGGAGGTGGAGGACAGGCCGAGGCGCTCGCTCTGACCGCCTGCCCCTCCTGCCCAGCAGAGGTGGCGCCCCGCAGCAAGCGGCGCTGTGTGCTGGAGCGGAAGCAGCCGTACAGCGGAGACGAATGGTGCTCAGGACCAGACAGCGAGGAGGACGACAAGCCCATCGGGGCCACCCACAGTGAGTGCCCATCACGCCAGGGTGCTGTGGCCCACGCTGCCCTTGGGGGATGGCTGCCCTAAGGGAGCCTTCCTCCCCTCCCCTCGGGCTTCAGAGTGCTGAGCCTGGGCAGACAGGGAGCCAGGGTCAGGAGCCAGGCTCCTTCCTTCTGATCCCACCTCCATACTGTTGCTCCCTGCACTGTGACAGCTCTGCCCCGGCCTCCCAGGTGCTCAGTGCCCCCCTTTCCCTAAGGACCAAGGCAGGGTGGGGTGAACCTCAGGTGGCCCCTCCTGGCTCTTCCACTTATACCTCCAAGAATTGCTGGCCTGTGCTGCCACCTGCTGGTCAGTGGAGGGAGGACAGCGAGAGTCCAGCATCACTTGGAGTGGGACAGTTGGCTCTGATGTCCGTGCCGTTCCCGGGTGTGAGCTAACACTGGCTGTGTCTCTGGCGCACCTCCCTGACCTTTAACTGACTCCTGGCAAGTGCCCAGAGTACGTCACCAGGACAAAGTGTGGGTGGGTGCCCACTCCTCTTATTCTCGGTTCATGAGCCCCTGGCTGAATCCTTCCCTGATAGATGAGGGTGGTCACTGCCTCTAAGGACAGATATCCCTCCTCTATCTTATTCACTTTTAAAAAAGTAATTTTTAAAAATTGATTTCAGAGAGGAAGGGAAAGGGAGAGAGAGATAGAAACATCAGTGATGAGAGAGAATCATTGATTGGCTGCTTCCGGCAACCTGGGCGTGTGCCCTGACTGGTAATCGAACCATGACCTCCTGGTTCATAGGTCAACACTCAACCACTGAGCCACGCTGGTTGGGCTGTCACATTGACTTTTATGATGCTAGCCTGCACCATTGTAAAAATGCGGGGAGACACTGGGAAATACAGAGAAGATGTTGCTAACACCTCATACTCAGTTCCAAGGCAACCATTAGTACTATTTTAGTTGTATTGCCTGCCGATTCTCAAAGAGTTCTTTTTGTTTTAAATGTTTTTTTTACATTTATTTTTAAAATCTATTTTATTGATTTTTTTACAGAGAAGAAGGGAGAGAGAGGGATAGAGAGAAACATCGATGAGAGAAAAACATTGATCAGCTTGCCTCCTGCACACCCCCTACATGCCCTTGACCGGACACGACCTGGGACCTTCAGTCCTCAGGCCAATGCTCTATCCACTGAGCCAAACCAGCCAGGGCTAAATACGTCTTTATTGATTTTTTTTTAGAGAGAGAGAGGAAGGGAAGAGGGATAGAGATATAAAAACATCGATGAGAGAAACATCATCAATTGGCTGTCTTCTGCACGCTCCTCTCTGGCATGTGCCCTGACTGGGAATCGAACTGTGATCTCTTGGTTTCTGGGTCAATGCTCAGCCACTGAGCCATGCCAGCCAGACTCTCAAAGAGTTCTTAATGGTGGGGCAGTATAGTGCAGAGTGAATAGCACAGACTCTTCATTCAGACCACCTTGGTTTATAGACCAGGTTTTCACTAATTATTTGTATAAATTGGGGAAAGGGCCTCGGTTTATTCACCTATAAAAATATTTACCTCATAGGGTTGATATGTGGTGAGTTGGTACATATAACACACTTAGAACGATGTTAGCTTTTCAGAGAGGAAGGGAGAGGGAGAGAGAGATAGAAACATCAGTAGCGAGAGAGAATCACTGATCGGCTGCCTCCTGCACATCCCCTACTTGGGATTGAGCCCACAACCTGGGCATGTGCCCAGACTGGGAATGAACCAGTGACCTCTTGGTGCATGGTTCAATTCCGACACTCCACTGCTGAGCTATACTAACTAGGCCCCAGTGGTTTTTTAGCTAGTGACTTGCTTTTGAACTTGTTACAAAAAATAGATTTCTTTGACTACCCCTTATGCAGGACAGGAGAATTGAGGCTGAGAGAGACTAAGTGTCTTGTTCATAAGGTTACACAGCCAGCTAGTTAGCGGTAGGGCTAGTTAGTGGTGAAAAATCACTCATTGTCTGAATCCTCAGTTGGTGCACCCTTTTTGCCTTCTCCCCTCGCAGAGACCAGGGCATGAGGATGGAGCAGGGCTAAGAGCAGGTTTCGCAGACTCTGTGGGCGTCGCATTCGGGGTGGCAAACCTTTCCCTTTCTTCTCATCCACATGGTCCCCACGATTGCCATCCTGGTCAAAGACTGGTCTAGGGCAAGTACGTGTGGAAAGCAAGCTGGGAAACCACCAGAATGTGGCAGCAAAGGGCCCCGTGGGCACCACCTTCCACAGTGCACCTTTCCCTTGGCGCCTCTGGGCGATGGGGGTGCCAGCTAGTTCTCCTTTCTAAATCTGGACTGCTGACCCTCTTTCCTTCCCTTCCCTGCAGATTGTAATGTAGGAGACCCTGCCATGGCGGCCCCACAGCTGGGTCCCGGCCAGACCCCCCAGCTTCCCCTCAGTGAGGGCAGTGCCCCAGGCCCCCCGCATGGGCCCCCAGCAGCCCTGCGGCCAGATGCCTCCGGGGGCAGTGGTGTCCCCGGAAAGCCTCCCTCACAATTCGTGTATGTCTTCACCACCCACCTGGCCAACACGTAAGTGCCTCACAGACTGCACTGGCTCTCTTTACCTAGCAACCTGGAGCCTGGGGTCTCGTGGGAGTGTCTGTGGGGCCAGGGTTGGTTAGGGTTGGGTTGGTTGGATTGGCTTGAGTTGGTTGGGTTGGATGGTTAGGTCGGGTTGGGTTGGTTGGGTTGGTTGGGTTGATTGGGTTGGGTTGGGTTGGTTGTGTAGGGTTGGTTGGGTCGAGTTGGTTGGGTTGAGTCCGGTTGGGTTGGTTGGGTTGGGTCGGGTTGATTGGGTTTGGTTGGGTTGGTTGGGTTGATTGGGTTGGGTTGGGTTGGGTTGGTTGTGTAGGGTTGGTTGGGTCGGGTTGGGTTGGTTGGGTTGGGTTAGGTTGGGTTGGGTCGGGTTGGGTTGGTTGGGTCGGGTCGGGTTGGGTTGGTTGGGTTGGGTTAGGTTGGGTTGGGTCAGGTTGGGTTGGTTGGGTCGGGTCGGGTTGGGTCGGTTGGGTCGGGTCGGGTTGGGTTGGTTGGGTTGGGTTAGGTTGGGTTGGTTGGGTTGGGTTAAGTTGGGTTGGGTCAGGTTGGTTGGGGTGGGTTGGGTCGGGTTGGTTGGGTCGGGTTGGGTTGGGCCCAGTTGGGTTGGGGTGGTGAAGGTGAGGGGCCCTCCTGCCTCCTCTCTGAGCTGTTGTGTCGAACCCCGTGCAGGGCTGCGGAGGCTGTGCTGCAGGGCCGGGCCGACTCCATCCTGGCCTACCACCAGCAGAACGTGCCCCGGGCCAAGCTTGACCAGGTGGGTGTAGTGCTGGCTGGCCTGGGGCCTCCACTAGCAGCCACCTGGGCCGGTGCGCCCTGCCCTGTCTCACACTCTGCCTCTGTCCTCTTGCAGGCCCCCAAAGCGCTCTCCACCCCAGAGCCACTCCCCCTGAGCACACCGTCTGCAGGCACCCCACAGTCCCAGCCACCTCAACTGCCACCACCGCCCCCAGCCCCTGGCAGTGCCCCCCCTGCTCTGCCTTCTGAGGGGCCTCCTGAGGACACTAATCAGGACCTGACACCCAACTCAGTGGGAGCTGCCAGCACAGGTGGTGGGACTGGGGGTACCCACCCGAACACCCCTACAGCTGCTACCAACAACAACCCGCTGCCTCCAGGAGGAGACCCCAGCGGCGCCCCTGGCCCTGCCCTCCTTGGGGAGGCCGCCCCCCCAGGAAGTGGGCAGCGCAGCCTGATGGGCTCGGAGGGGCTGTCCAAGGAGCAGCTGGAGCACCGGGAGCGCTCCCTGCAGACTCTGCGGGATATTGAACGGCTGCTGCTCCGCAGTGGGGAGACCGAGCCTTTCCTCAAGGGGACCCCGGGAGGCGCAGGTGAGGTCGGACCACCAGCACCAGCCCCTCCCGCGCCCCCGCAGCCCCCCACTGCCCCTCCTGGCGGGCTGAAGAAGTACGAGGAGCCCTTGCAGTCCATGATTTCGCAGACACAGAGCTTAGGGGGCCCCCCACTGGAGCATGAGGTGCCTGGGCACCCCCCAGGCGGGGACATGGGACAGCAGATGAACGTGATGATGCAGAGGCTAGGCCAAGACAGCCTGACGCCCGAGCAGGTGGCCTGGCGCAAGCTGCAGGAGGAGTACTACGAGGAGAAGCGGCGGAAGGAGGAGCAGATCGGGCTCCACGGGGGCCGCCCGCTGCAGGACATGATGGGCATGGGCGCGGTGATGGTGAGGGGGCCGCCGCCTCCCTACCACAGCAAGCCTGGGGACCAGTGGCCGCCCGGGATGGGCGCCCAGCTGCGGGGGCCCATGGATGTCCAAGATCCCATGCAGCTCCGGGGCGGACCTCCCTTTCCCGGCCCCCGTTTCCCAGGCAACCAGATGCAACGGGTGCCTGGGTTTGGGGGCATGCAGGGCATGCCCATGGAGGTGCCTATGAATGCCATGCAGAGGCCTGTGAGGCCGGGCATGGGCTGGACCGAAGACTTACCCCCCATGGGGGGGCCCAGCAATTTTGCTCAGAACCCCGTGCCCTACCCAGGTGGGCAGAGTGACGCAGAGCGATTCATGACCCCCCGGGTTCGTGAGGAGCTGCTGCGGCACCAGCTGCTAGAGAAGCGGTCCCTGGGTATGCAGCGCCCCATGGGCATGGCCGGCGGCGGCGGCATGGGGCAGGGCGTGGAGATGGAGCGGATGATGCAGGCGCACCGGCAGATGGACCCAGCCATGTTCCCCGGGCAGATGGCGGGCGGTGAGAGCCTGGCGGGCACTCCCATGGGCATGGACTTTGGCGGAGGCCGGGGCCTTCTGAGCCCCCCGATGGGGCAGTCCGGGCTGAGGGAGGTGGACCCCCCCTTGGGGCCAGGCAACCTCAACATGAACATGAACGTGAACATGAACATGAACATGAACCTGAATGTGCAGATGACCCCGCAGCAGCAGATGCTGATGGCGCAGAAGATGCGAGGCCCTGGGGACATGCTGGGTCCGCAGGGCCTCAGCCCCGAGGACATGGCCCGCGTGCGGGCTCAGAGCAGCAGCGGCCTAGTGGGCGGCCCGCAGAAGATGCTAATGCCCTCGCAGTTCCCCGGCCAGGGCCAGCAGGGCTTCTCCGGAGGCCAGGGGCCCTACCAGGCCCTGCCACCGGACATGGGCAGCACCCAGGACATGTTCAGCCCCGACCAGAACTCCATGCCCATGAGCAATGTGGGGACCACTCGGCTCAGCCACATGCCTCTGCCCCCTGCATCCAACCCTCCGGGGTCTGTGCACGCAGCCCCGAGCCGGGGGCTGGGCCGACGCCCTTCAGACCTCACCATCAGTATTAACCAGATGGGCTCACCGGGCATGGGGCACCTGAAGTCGCCCACACTTAGCCAGGTGCACTCCCCGCTGGTCACCTCGCCCACTGCCAACCTGAAGTCACCCCAGACTCCCTCACAGATGGTGCCCTTGCCTTCTGCCAACCCGCCGGGACCTCTCAAGTCGCCCCAGGTCCTGGGCTCCTCGCTCAGTGCCCGCTCGCCCACGGGCTCTCCCAGCAGGCTCAAGTCTCCCTCCATGGCGGTGCCTTCTCCGGGCTGGGTCGCCTCGCCCAAGACAGCCATGCCCAGCCCTGGGGTCCCCCCGAACAAGCAGCCGCCTCTCAGCATGAACTCATCCTCTACCCTGGGCAGTATGGAGCAGGGTGAGTCAGCATGCGGGTGTGTGGGCACTGGGCCCAGGCGCGGGGCATCTCCAGGTGGGCTCGTGCGGGGCAGGTGATGGAGGAGGCCCCTGGATAGAGGTGGGAGGCTCTGCTGGGCTTTCCCAGGAGCACATGCTAATCTCTAGGCATTTTGAGGGGTCACACTTGGGATCTCCCACCGCCTGGGCCCCCAAGGCTGTAGGAGCTGCTTGGAGAAGGGTGGGCTGTAGTGACAATAGTGGGAGGGCTTGTGTGTAGTGGACACCCGGGTGGAGGTGTGCCTGGAGGACCTGGTGGAGGTATGGGGCTAACCTCTCCTGCACCCCCAGTATGAACAGCCAGGTTCACCCCCCCCCCCCCCCGGTCACCCTGCTCTGTCTCCCGCTTCTGTAGGTGCCCTCCCGCCCAGCGGTCCCCGGAGCAGCTCCTCCGCGCCTCCCGCCAACCCCACCGGCGGCCTCATGAACCCCAGCCTGCCGTTCACTTCCTCCCCAGATCCCTCGCCATCCCAGAACCCGCTGTCGCTGATGATGTCCCAGATGTCCAAGTACGCCATGCCCAGCTCCACGCCACTCTACCACAACGCCATCAAGACCATCGCCACCTCAGACGACGAGCTGCTACCCGACCGGCCCCTGCTGCCCCCGCCACCACCGCAGGGCTCCGGGCCAGGTGCGGGGCTAGGAAAGGGCCCAGGGGGAGAGCTGATGTGGGCCCTGGGGGCGAGGAGAGCGGGCATGGCGCGCAGTCACCCCTGTGGGCGTGCTGGCTGTGACGTGCTTCCCCCACGGCCCTTGGCGTAGGGGCGATGTCCGGCTGCCATTCCCACTCGCACAGTCATTTGGGGAAACTAAGCCCAGGCCACTCAGGGGTCTGTCCAGCACCCAGAGATGTGTCCGTGGCAACCTGGTCCAGACCTGGATCTCTCGGCTTCTCACCTTCATGCCTCACGCCCCTTTCCTTGTAGCTGGGGCAGGCCGATGTGAGGTCCTCCCTGCTGGCACCGGCTGGCACCCGGAGTTCCTCATCCCTTTTTCTCTTTCCCCACAGGGATCAGCACTAACCAGTCCAACCCGATGCACCTGAGCTCAGCTGCTGCCCAAAGCCCCATGGGCATGACCCTGCCAGGCCAGCAGCCTCTGTCCCACGAGCCCCAGCCTGCCATGCTCCCCTCCCCCACTCCTCTGGGTTCCAACATTCCACTGCACCCCAATGCTCAGGGGACAGGGGGGCCTCCTCAGAACTCAATGATGATGGCTCCAGGGGGCCCAGACTCCCTGAATGCTCCCTGTGGCCCTGTGCCCAGCTCCTCCCAGATGATGCCCTTCCCCCCACGGCTACAGCAGCCCCATGGCGGCGGTGCCATCCCCAGTGGGGGTGGGGGGCCGGGCCTACAGCAGCACTACCCCTCGGGCATGCCCCTGCCCCCCGAGGACCTGCCCGGCCAGCCACCTGGCCCCATGCCCTCCCAGCAGCACCTGATGGGCAAAGGCATGGCTGGGCGCATGGGCGACGCGTACCCGCCGGGTGTGCTCCCAGGGGTGGCATCCGTCCTGAACGACCCCGAGCTGAGCGAGGTGATCCGGCCCACCCCGACGGGGATCCCCGAGTTCGACTTGTCCAGGATCATCCCCTCGGAGAAGCCAAGCAGCACCCTCCAGTACTTCCCCAAGAGCGAGAACCAGCCCCCCAAGGCCCAGCCCCCCAATCTGCATCTCATGAACCTGCAGAACATGATGGCGGAGCAAACCCCCTCACGGGCCCCCAACCTCCCAGGCCAGCAGGGTGTCCAGCGGGGGCTCAACATGCCCATGTGCCACCCCGGACAGATGTCCTTGCTGGGCAGGACAGGTATGCCCCCGCAGCAGGGCATGGTGCCCCACGGTCTGCACCAGGGGGTCATGTCCCCGCCGCAAGGCCTCATGACCCAGCAGAATTTCATGCTGATGAAGCAGCGGGGCGTGGGGGGCGAGGTCTACAGCCAGCCCCCCCACATGCTCTCCCCGCAGGGCTCCCTCATGGGCCCCCCGCCCCAGCAGAACCTCATGGTGTCCCACCCTCTGCGGCAGCGCAGTGTGTCTCTGGACAGCCAGATGGGCTACCTCCCCGGCCCGGGCGGCATGGCCAACCTGCCCTTCTAGCACTCTCTGCCGGGGCCGGGCAGCACTGCAAATAGTGTCACCTGAAAAGTGTCTTCCCTCCAGTGTTGGGGTGACCTGGGGTCCAGGGTGGGTCGGAGGGTGGGAGGGGCTTGTGTGGGGAATGGCATTTGTGGCAACCAGATGTGCTGGCAGCTGAGTGGGATGGCAGTGGGAGGGCTCTGGGTAGGGAGTTGTTCCATTGTGGCCATCAGACCATCCCACCCCACCCCCAAGTCTTTGGAGCCTGTTTCCCCTGTGTCTCTGCACCCCTCATTTAGCTCTGTGTTCCGAGTCCTGTGTGGAGTCCTTAGAGGGGAGAGGAAGAGGAGGTGACATCTCCCTTCTCCATCCCCCCTTCCCACCACTCTCTCCAGTGCTCCAGCCTTGCTGCTCCTGGTTCTGCTCCCACCTGGTTCTTCTCTTTTCCTGCCTCATCTCCTCTCTCTGCTGCTGTGGCTGACCCCCTCACCCGCCTCCCCCCCCCCCCCGCCCCCACAGGTGGCCGGCCAGGTGGGCGGGGCTGCCGCTGGCGCATAGAGAGCTGCGCTTTGTGCTGGACTGTGTGCGCCTTAGTCCTGTGCTTTGATAGAAGTCACCCAAAAGAGGGATGAAAGAAGCTCTTCCCCTCTTTCAGATTACTGCCCCAGGGCCTGCAGCCTGACACACCTGTCCACTGCTCACAGCATCTCTGGGTCCCTAGAGGGTGCCATTCTGGTCCCCCCAAATGGGGAAATGACAGAGCCCACACCTGATGCATAGCCCACACCTGATAGAATGTCCAAACCTGACAGATGGCCCACACCTGACAGAAAGCCCCCACACCTGACAGAAAGCCCCCACACCTGACATAGCCCCCCACACCTGACAGAAAGCCCCGCACACCTGACGTAGCCCCCCACACCTGACAGAAAGCCCCCCACACCTGACAGAAAGCCCCCCACACCGGATAGATGGTCCACACCTGAACTGAGGTCAGACCACCTGGCTTTTCCCTGGTGAGCCCAGCAGGGCTGAGACCTGTGGAACAGCAGGCTGCTGAGTGAGTCAGGAGCGCGTGCGTGCATGCGTGCGTGCGAGTGTGTGTGACGTGCGTGCGAGTGTGTGTGAGTGACACGCCCCTGGCTTCTGGTTGTGGATGGCTGACGTCCCCCTAGCTACATCTTAGCCAGACCTTGAAGTCCTGGGTCCCCAGGCTGAGGGGAGGGAGAGAAAAGGCAGGGGCTGTGTGGAGCCTGAGGAACAGTGGGGGGCCCAGGGGCCCTGTGCCTGCGGCAATGGCTCTGGGCCAGGTCACCCCCAGGGCCCCCAATCTCCAGAGGCTGCCACCTAATTCTATCACCGAAGAAGGGAGGGTGTGGCCGAGCCTGTCTCTCCCGGCCTCTGCGAGCAGCGGGGCGTCCTGCTGGCCTGTCTGCCTGCTGCCCATGCACTGGCAAAGCCCCTCTGCCCAGGGCCCGGGCTGTGCCCACCCGGGCGCAGTCACTGTCTCCCCCTCCGAGCTCCCCCCACCTCAGTCGAGCTGAAGCCATACACACTGGGTGCTGTGCACCCCCCCCCCCCCCAAACACACACACCCAGGAGTAAAACTTTCTCAATTCCCTTCCTGCTGTGGGGCAGGCCGCTCCCCGGCCTCCAGGGCCACGTCTAGACAAGGTGTCCTCTGCCAAGGCCTGGCCCCACCTCGGCAGCTGTCACACAGGGACTCCCCCATTTCTCCGTCTGGTGCTGTGCTCAGTCCACTGTCAGCCGGACCCAGCGCTTCCTCGCGGCTGGCTGCAGGCTCCTGCCTCCCAGGACCCAGGCCTCAGGCTTGTGTGTCCAGGAGCCACTGCCACCCTCCAGCCAGGCGCCCTGCCTGCGCTGCCTGCACTGGGCCTGTATCGCTGAGCCCCCAACCCCCACCCCAAACTCTCAAACTGACTCAGTGTTGCCTGCCCAGAGGGGAGGGACGGACTGCAAGGCCTGACATTCTCCTCTTCCCACCTGCTGTCAGAGTAGCTTTTCCAGGTGAACTCCACAGGCCAGCCTCCTCCATCCAAGGCCATCCCCAGCCATTTTGTACCATTATATAAATATATATAAATATAAATATATAAATACAATATGTGAAGACATCCTTTGGGTTTTTATTTTGAAACAATTTTTAGGCTTGTTCCGGGGGTCTCTGTGCTGCCTGTACTGTATTGACCTGTTTTATAGGTGCCTTTTTATTAAAAAGAAAATGCAAAACCTGATCTCTTGCCTCTGCTTCCATGTCTGGCTCCGCTGACCAGCTTGCTGTTGGATGCCGGGAGACAAAAGCTCTGTCCCCGCGTGGGGGCCTCGTCGGGAATGCGGCCGGTTGGCCTGCGTGGGAGTGGGCAGCTCAGATGTGCCCTGGCAGGAGCAGGGGCCTGGCTCTCCCACTCCAGTCGGACCGCAGGCTGGGGGCAGGGGAGGCAGGTGGGCCGGTGGCGAGCAAGCAGTGCGAGAGCCACTTCCCCTTCCCTCAGAGGAGCAGCCTCCGGGCAGGGCCGCTGCCTGGGGCCTGTGCCCGGCCTGGCCTCCCGGGGCTGGGGAGTTGGCTCCAGAGGCTTCTCTCTGGCTTTCCGCTCAGGTCTGCGTGTTGTCCTGACCTTCCTCCTGTGGGGGGACCCTCCTGGCTGAGGCACTTCCCGGAGGGGCAGGGAGCCTCCGCCTGCCTCCTGCCTCAGTGCCCAGGCCCACCCCCGGGCAGAGGAGGGGGCGGCTTTGGTGTAGTAGAACGTCCCTCCTTGCGGTGGGGGCAGGAGACCCCCCCACCCCCCGCCCGCGGCTCCTTTCCACTGGCTCGGCCTGAGTTCCCTGGGACACTGGCTGCTCCGAGGTGCATGCGCCTGCCCTCCCGGGGCCCAGGGACACGGAGCTGGCCCAGGGACAGCGTGGTCAGAGCCGGGGACAGCTGCCGGGGTTGAATCGGTCTGAGCTTCCTGCGGGCAGGAGGGGTCCGTGTGTCCGAGGCTGAATCAGGCTGAGGCCACACCTGCCTTTCCTCAGCCTCCACCTCCAACCCGCAGCTCAGCGTTGCCTTCGGGGCGGGCGGGAGGCGGCCGGAGCCGCGGGCCGGTGGCCTGTGAGAGTGGTGCATTCTGGGGGTTGATGGCTTTCCACTTTGGTGAAGACAAAAGCAAACCTGTTTCCCGAGGTTTGGGTGGTTCCGATGAGGAAGGCGGGCGGGGCCCTCTCAGCCCGGGTGACTCAGGTGGGCACAGTGCCTTTTGGGCCGTGGAGCTGCCTTCCCTCCCTGGACCCAGCCCAGCCCCGGGGGAGGAGAGCCGCAGGGATGTCCCGGAGGCAGCGTCGGCGCCTCTCTGGCCAGGCGAGCTCTTGGGATCCCATTCCTGCGAAATTCCCAGAGTCAGGGTGCCCCTCAAGAAAGTCAAAGCAGAAAGGGGGGCTGGGACCTAGAAGGTGGTGAGGGAGGTGGCGTTCTCCGACTCGGAGAGGCTGCTCTTGCGCCAGGCGGGGAGGAACTGGCAGAGGGCGGCGGGCCCCGCGCAGCCCAGCTTGGCCAGCACCCGCGACAGGTCGCTGCGGAACTTGACCCCTGCGAACGTGTAGAGCACGGGGTTGAGGCAGCAGTGGGCCAGGCCCAGGAACTCGCCCACGGTGATGGCCACGGACAGATAGCCGCGCAGCGCACAGCTGCCGCCCACGGCCCGCAGCCGGGACAGGGTGTCCAGGAAGATGGCCACGTGGTAGGGCGACCAGCAGAGGAAGAAGACGCTCGTCACCAGGATGGCCACCCTGACCGCCTTCTGGCGCTGCGGGCGCCGCTGGGCCTGGCACAGCCTGCGCACCACCCCCGCGTAGCACCAGCCCATCACCAGCATGGGCAGCAGGAAGCCGCCGAAGTGGTAGAGGAAGCGGGCGGTGAACCAGGCGCGGGCCTCGGCGCGGCTCTCCTGGGAGAAGGTGCAGAGCGGCAGCGAGGTGTTGCGCGAGGGCTGGCTGACCTTGGCGAAGAGCAGCTCGGGCAGGGCCAGGAGGCAGCCCGCCAGCCAGACGGCGGCGCAGGTGGCGTGGACGGAGAGGCGGCGGCGGTGGCGGTAGGCGTGGACGGCGAGCACGATGGCCAGGTAGCGGTCCACGGCCACGCAGGCCAGCAGCAGGCTGCTGCAGTAGAAGTTGACCTTGTGCAGCGCGATCACGGCCTTGCAGGGGACGGCGCCCAGGACCCAGCCCACCGAGCCCTCGGCCACGGCGAAGGGCAGGATGAGCACCAGCAGCAGGTCGGCCGCCGCCAGGTGGAACAGGAAGGTCTCGGTGGAGCTGCGCGTGTGCCGGTGCCGCTCCAGGACCGCCAGCACCAGGATGTTGCCCGTCAGCCCCAGGAGGAAGACCAGGCCGTAGGCCACGGGCATGAACACGGCCTTGAAGGAGGTCAGGAGGGGCCCCTCGGCCGCCGAGCAGACGTGGTTTTCCACGGGGGCGGTCTCCGTGCTGTCGCTGTAGTTTCCTAGTTCCTTGGGCGCAGGAGTGAGGAGACAGGAAGGCAGAGAACTGAGGACCCGCCTTGCTCCCTGGAGAGGGGCCCCGACTCCCCGCAGATTGTCCTGATCCCCGACTGATTGCTCTTGCCTGCACTCCCTGGTGTCCCACTGACCACACCCCAACTTCCCTCCGTGTCCTTGACCACATTGCTCTGAGCGCCTTTTCCCACTTCAGTTTTCATCTGTAAAAGAGGCCGATTGGCCCGGCTGCTGCGGCTCAGGGGTTGAGCATCAACCTATGAACCAGGAGGTCACAGTTCAATTCCCAGTCAGGGCACAGGCCCAGGTTGTGGGCTTGATCCCCAGGAGGCGGCGTGCAGGAGGCAGCCGATCCATGATTCTCTCTCATCATTGATGTTTCTCTCTCTCTCCCTCTCCCTTCCTCTCTGAAATAAAAAATATATTTTAAAAATAAATAAAAGGGACTGATAGCTCAGGGGAGTGATGGGGATGAAAGGACACACAGGGTGGCACGGCCTCTGACGGGCTGTGCCTCGAAAGCTACGCGTGTCTGTGCCCCCGCGTGTGCAGGCGCAGCTCGGGGCTGGAATCCAGGCTCCAGAGTGGGAATGGCTCCAGCGGGGCCAGAGCTGTCTGTTCCATTCGTAAAGCCTAGAGTCCCCCGCAGGGACGGTGCTGCCGAGGGCTGCTGGCCCCTCTTGATGTGCCCTCTCTCCCCGTCTGCCTTCAGTGTCCTTGAAGCTGCAGTAACAGCCTCCATTTCCATTCATCTAACAACAGGCTCAGGCAGGCGATGTTCCTAGTTTACCAAGGCATCTTGCTCAAGATCAGCCGTTTGAACCACTTGACCTAACTCCAGAGCCAGTGCCACCACCACCAGGGGCAAGGCCTGGGCTGCCCTGCTGGACACTCCCATCGCTAGAGTCCGGGCTCGCTCTCTGCTCCCCTGGCAGCCTCAGAAGCAAGAGGAAGGGAGGGAGACCAGGCCCAGGGGGCAGGAGGGAGGAGCCTGTTCCCAGGGAAGGGGGTGTGCCCACTCTGTCCTTGCTCCCCTGCCCCAGCTTCCTCCTCCTCCTCCTCCTCTTCCTCCCCCCCCCCGCCCCCTCCGCCCCCCGCCTCACCCCCCCCCCCCCGCCCCTCCCCGGCACTCAGGTTGCTTACCCAGCTAACCGCAAAGGAAGAGGGGGGTTGGCTGTGCCTTTTCATACCTTTCACTCACAGCTGGCCCCCTGCACCTGCTCCACCTCCCTCCCGCCTCTCCCCTCACCAGACCTCTCTCTATGGCATTTTCAAAACCAATGATAACCAAAGAGTGTCGGTTACAAAAGACACTGCCTATCATCAAGGATCCCAGGGAGGGAGAGGCTGGGAGAGGTCCTGGCAGCCTGGTTCTGGGGTCCCGTGCTGCCCTCCTTCTGGAGAGTGAGGTCCTGCACAGCCAGGCGTTTGCAGCGCCCCAGGAGTCCCAGTTTCCGGCCCCCAGTCGGGGTCTTTTCCTCCTGGTCCCTGGGGCAGGTGACTCTGGAGAAGTGGGTGAGGGGATACATTCGTACCATGGCAGACCCTCTGCCCCCCATCCCTCTGCCATCCCCTCCATCCCACCGACACCCTAATGCTGGGGACCAGTGTCCCTCTGTGGGTCTTCACTCTGCCTGGCTCCTACACAGAGGAGGGATTTTCCAACCCCAAATCCCCATCGCACCAGGGTCCTGCTCGTTCCCAGTTTACCTATAAACAGTGGTTTTTTAATTTTTCTTTTCTTCCCAATTTCACACTGAATAGCAAAACCAATGATGAGGAAAGTCATGTTTGTGAGAAAGTGCCTCAAGATCGAGTAAGCCTTGGACCCAGAGAGCATGACGCTGAGCAAAACAAGTTAGTCAGAGAGAGAGACAAGCATCACAGGGTCTCACTCATATGTGGGATCTAATGAGCAACATGAACTGATGACCAAGAATAGACCCAGAGGCATAGACGCATCGCTCAGAGGGAAGGCCGGGAGGGTGGGCGAGGGGGAAAGAGATCAACCAATGAAGTCATATGCGTATATGCATCAGACACAGGCAATTGGGGGGGGGGGGGCGGGGAGAGATGAATGAGGGAAAAGGGGGACATATGTAATACTTTCAACAATAAAGGTTTTAAAAGAAGATTGGAGTAAGCCGCCGTCATGCATTCACACATGGGATGCAATGTGGGGCTCAGGAAGAAGTGGGGTTCACCTCCAAGTTCTCTCAGGGAAAGAGAGCCAGCCCTCTTGCTACACTGCCACACCATGCGGGCACTCCCGCAGCGGTCCGGGCGCGGACTTCTGCGGGGAGGGTGGGCGGGGCAGCCTCCAGCCCCCACCCCGTCCTTACACCAGGCTCCTCCACTAAGGTGGTGTTTCCCACTAAGGCTTTTGTTTAAGAAAATGGTTCTATTTTCATTTGAAAACCCTGGAATTGCAGGGTGAGGTCTAAATGCCTCCAAAGGGCCTTTAACTCTCAACAAAATACACCTTCCTCTGACCTTTGAAACCTCACATTTCACTTTATGGCTTTAGCCTGCTGCCCGGACACCCAGCACATCCTGGTCTCCAACACTTGGCCCCACGCTTCCTTTGGCTGAGCAGTCCTTCCTGACAGCCTGATGCCTGGGCCCGTCAAGGTCAAGGCCTGCTCCAGCGCCTCCTCCATCCCTCCCGGCTCTTCCTTTGGCTGCACATCTTCCCTTCTTACAGGACGTGCGCCTTTGCCACAGGACCAGGGCGGGCACCTGCTCCTTCCCTGCATGGCCAGCTCTTTTATTTTTATTTTTTAATGATTTCAGAGAGGAAGGGAGAGGGAGAGAGAGAAACATCAATGATGAGAGAGAATCATTGATCGGCTGCCTCCTGCACGCCCCACACTGGGGATGGAGCCCGCAACCCGGACATGCGCCCTGACCAGGAATCAAACATGACCTCCTGGTTCATAGGTCAATGCTCAACCGCTGAGCCATGCGGGCCGGGCGGCGGGCGAGTTCTTGGAGGCAGGCCTCTGCAGCCCCCTCACGAGGCGCATTTCACTCTCCAGGGCGTGCAGCAGGTGTGTCCTGAGCGGCTCTGAGAACAGTGCCCCAGAGCAGGCTGGGCCCTTTATCCTGGGACGTAGAAAAGTCTCTCTGTGTCCCAGGGGACATTTGGACACTGCTTGCCACCCTCTGCAGCTCTTGCTTCCTCCAATACCCTGCAGAGCCTAGCGCCTGCCTGGGGTTCTCTCCACATTACGAGCAACTTCCAATGTCGTTACTGAACACAACCATTTGAGTCATCCTGGAATCCATGCACAGCAATGCAGTTCAGAGGCAGAAGAGAGGCAGAGCTGGGAATAGCCCGTGGGGCCGGGCTTGGCCTGCACTGGCTGTGCTAGGAGCTCAGCGTCCCTGGCCCAGGGGAGAGCTTGGGTACAGCCACCTGTCTGGCCAGAAGCCCTTTCTGAGAAGCACTTCAGTCCTCCCTCTCGAAAGCGTCCTGGTGGATTTGTTTTCCCTCTCGAAAGCGTCCTGGTGGATTCATTTGTTTTCACTTAAAGCCCGCACAGTGGGATGGCCTGGGACCCCAGGGCCCCTCTCCCAGGAACCCAGATTGTGATGCAGGTTGCGGGGAGGGTCTGTATCTCCTTTCTGGCCGGGAGGGATTTGCTTGGTGAAGCTCTCGGGCAGGAGGGGACAGAAGGACCCTGTTCTGCGAACACTGGGAGTTGGCACATCTTGGCAGGAGCATCAAACAGCCCATCAAACAGCTGGTCTGAGGGCTTGGGAGTGGCAGGTAAGGAAGCTGGTGTAGAAACCACTTCCCATACCCGGGGGATCAGGCACTCCATCCTTCCTCAAACCCAGCAAGGCTGGCTCTGGCCTGGTAGGCGGTGAAGAATCAGGAATTCTGAATACCAGGAAGAGTGGGATACAGAAGGGCGCTCTCCAAGACTTACACCCAGAAGCAGCACATGCCGGCAATTGGCCCAGCAGTAACCATCCTCTCCTCTTCTACATTCTCATGCGTGCACACTACTCATGCACACACACTCTCATGCATGCACAACTCTCCTGCATGCACTGACACACTCTAATGCACGCACACCACTCATGCACGCACACCACTCATGCACGCACACCACTCATGCACGCACACCACTCATGCATGAAGCACTCTCATGCATGCACACCACTCATGCATGAAGCACTCTCATGCATGCACACACTCTCAGGCACGCACACCACTCATGCATGTACACCACTCATGCATGAAGCACTCTCATGCATGCACACACTCTCATGCACACACACGCTAATGCATGCACAACTCTCCTGCATGCACACACTCTATGGCGCAGCACGCACCCTGTATAGGTACAGATGTGCCTAGGTGGGGCCACAATAGCCCAGGTGTAGGTAGGTACCTGGTGGGCAACCTTATACATTGGCTGGGGACCCAGGCCCCAAGGAAGGCAAGCACACATGTGGCCTGGGACTCTGAAGCAGGTGGGCAGGGGCCGGGCTGCCCCAGGGATAGGCCTGGACCCGCTCCTCTCACACTCTCCGCCCTGGCGTGGGCGGAGGGTTGGGGGACACTCCAGGACAAGGCAGAGTCCTCTCCACGCTGGACTGGGAGCACACACCGACCAGATGGAACTGATAGGAAAGAAGAGAGCGCTAGACTCAGGGTTCAGGCCTCAGCTGGGCAGAGACAAGCTCGGGGAGACCTGGCTCAGTGACAGTACCTGAGAAGAGGACCTGAGAGTTTGCTGACTGAGAGTGTAAGTGAGTCAGGGGGTGACATGGCTACCGGAAGTGCTACTGTGACCTCACTCTAGGCAGGGGTGGGGAACGTCCGGCCGGCATGCAAGGCCCACAGAATCTTCTGGTCTGGCCCTGCCACGGTGTTAGGGGTGAGTTAACTGAATATTTGACCAAATAGAGCAGGCTAATTTTTAAGTCGATAATTTTTTTAAAAAATCGATTTAAGAGAGGAAGGAAGTGGGAGAGAGATAGAAACATCAATGATGAGAGAGAATTATCCATCGGCTGCCTCCTGCACGCCTCACACTGGGGATCGAGCCCACAACCTGGGCATGTGCCCTGACCAGGAATCGAACTGTGACCTCCTGGTTCATAGGTCGAAGCTCAACCACTGAGCCACGCTGGCCGGGCTAAGTTGATAATTTTGTGTGGCCTGGGAATGAGGTTGTAAATACCCACGTGGCCCCAGCAGAACAAAGGCCCTGCCCTGCCCTTGGTGAACAGAAGCCTGCAGGTGGCGTCCAGCCCCAGCCCATGTCATTTGGTCTGGACACGAGTGGGCAGCTGGCAGTGGGGGGACATTCTCATCCGGGGGTGAAGAGGAGACGTGAGTCTCGGAGAACTGTCTTCTTCGAGGACTGACAAGAGCCCAGTGGGCGAGAGGGCAAGCTGGGCTTGTGGTGTGGGGCTCAGAGGGCTGACCAGGAGGAACGGGCAGAGGCTGGGGTCAGGGGCTCCAGGCGGAGGAGAAAGAACCTTTTAACAGGCATCGGGGTCCAACATCGGGGGTTCTTGGGAGGAAGAGGAAGTTGAGCCCCCGTGTGTGGGAAGGGATTCCTACTCCAGAAAGAAGGCTTTGCCCTGCCCTCCAGCGGCCTTTGCTCCCAGCTCCTAGCTGCGTGGATCCCCTGGCTGCCACCCCGCCCAGGGCGGAGCTGGGCCTCAGCCTGACCTTCATGTGGCTCGGACCTGAGTGGGAGCTGTTTTGTTTTCTCACTGGTCTGTCCTGCAGCCAATGAATGCCCCAGCCTGACTGCTTCTCAGCCCCGAGTTGGGGGCAAGGGGCCGAGCCGGGACGCCCGGGCAGAGCAGCTGCACACAGGTGTAGACCACGGCTGACTACAGGGAGCACACACGTGCCTCTGTGCATGTCCCCGTCTGGATAGCCCAGCCGAGAGGGGGGAGCTGTGAGTGGAGTCAGCCAGTGTGTCTCTCTCATTCTACCCTTGAGGAGGGGCTGGAGTCTGGAAGAATGGGCCTGGGCGGAGGGTGAGACAGAGGTCTGTATCCCTCACCACACTCTTCCTCTGAATATATTTTTATTGATTTCAGAGAGGAAGGGAGAGGGAGAGAGATAGAAACACCAATGATGAGAATCATTAATTGGCTGCCTTCTGCACACCTCCTACTGGGGATCGAGTCTGCAACCCCGGCATGTGCCCTTGACCAGAATCGAACCTGGGACCCTTCAGTTCCCAGGCTGAAGCTCTACCCACTGAGCAACACTGGCCAGGGCCCCCACTCTTCCTTTGGAGGATCGGACTCCCCAAAAGAACACCTGGGTCACTGGCTTGCCCTTCGCCAAGCTTCTCCTCTCCTCGCCCGCCCCCCCCCCCCCCCCCCCCCCCCCCCGCAGGAGCAAGCCCGCAGGCTTACGGGTCTCGGCTCTTAGGAACAGGGCGTGGCTCTGGCTGTGGCTCTGAGGGGAGACTTTAGACTACCCCTACTTCCGCACTGAGGCTTTAGGGTTAGGGGTCCCCTTGGGCGCCCCACACTAATTTTCACTTTGGAGACAGAGCCACTCAGCCCGAGGGCAGGTTGGTGCCTCCTGGGTGTGCACAGCAGCCTCTTGTGGCCGCGGCCTGGGTCAGGACCGATCACTCCGAGAGGACACTCACCGGGCCTGGGGCCTGATTCTCAGTGCGCACGCCGTTGCCCTAGAGTGGACCCGACTCGAGGCAGCGAGAGTTCCTAAGGGGGCTGCGGCCTGTGCCTGAGCCCAGATGCCCCCAGTGCTGACCCTCCCGGGCTGGCCCTGGTCTCCCTCATCTCCAACTCCTCCAATCACACCCAGGGGGCCTCCTCCACTGAGGTTCTTCTGGGACTTTTGAGCTCATTGTAGGGGCTCCTTCCTTCCCCCCAAGATAAAGCTCAGAAACGCTCGCACCGGTTTGGGGTCCTTGTCGCACCTGCGGGGTGAGATGAGAGGAGATGGCACGTGGATGGGCTCTGCAGCCCGTGCTGCTCTGATCACACTGGAGCCAGAGTTTATGGGGCTGTCCCTGGCGAGGGCCCAGGGGTCAGGGGTCAGGAGCTGGGGATGGGCGAGCTTCTCCCTGCTCTGTAGTCGCTACCCCCTGGGTGGATGCAGGGTGGGGCCGGAGGTGCCGTTTAGGATGCCCTCCCCCGCCTGTAGGTGGCCCAGCTCCTGGTTCTGTCATGAGGAGGCGCCTGCTCTCAGATCCAGGTGCCTGTGGACCAGGCTTTGCTAGTCTGCCCTTCCCAGCAGGACGGGTCCTGGCACGCCCACCCCGGCCGGCTCCTCAGCCCTGGCACTGGGCTTCTTGCTGTGCTCCCTTTGGAGCTTCCCCTCGCGGGAGTTCGCAGCCAGCTTCAGAGGGTGGCCTGTAAGCTGCTGGCCTGCCGCTTAGGTGTCCAGAGGGGAAAGGACACAGGGTGACCACAGGCATGGGGCTGACGGCCTCGAGCCCCAGGTCTTACTCAGCCCTGGAGCATGGAGACCAGGGCTCTGGGACCGGGAGCATGTGATGGGGGCAAGGCCGGGGGTGGGGTGGGCAGGAGGCAGCAGGCGTTGAAGCTGGACTAACGCATAGAGAAACCTTCGATAAATCGCAAACCAATCCATACTTATTGAGAAGCGACTTTGTGCAAGATCCTTCTACTCTGCTACCGAGGGTCTCGTACAGGGACAGTCAGAAAGGCCGTCAGCGGGCTGGGGTCCGTGCGTCGGGGGCCACAGCCCGGAGGCGCGCCCAGGAGCTAGGGAAGGTGACGCCAGGCGCTGGGAGCTGGTTGCAGACGAGCCCCACAGCCGCCCTAGATGGGCCCTGACTGAGTCACTGGGTCACTGGGACATCTGGCCTGAGACCACTCGTTTGAAGTGCGACACGAAGCAGTCCCCAGGCGCCTCCCCGGGCTGTGGGTCCTCTGGTGGACGGGACCTGCCCCTGTCTCCCTGCCCCCAGCCACCACCTGTCTAGTAGGTCACGCAGTGGAGCGAGGCGAACAGTTAGGGGAAATCGTGAGGGTTCTCAGAAGCTGGGACCAGCCGGGCCTGTCGCAGGTTCCTGATAGCCAACTGGGTCAGGGCTGGTGGTCAGCTCGAAGCTGGGAGCAGAGGAAGACACCCAGTAACCTACTCGGGGCGGGGGGCGGTCAGGGCTGTGGGGGTTTAGCCTGATTCAGGGTATTGCCCAGACTCTGTGCTTGAGCTCACGACCAGCTTCGTGGGCAGGAGGCCCGGGCACCCACGCAGGGCCCCGCGCTAAGCCCTGCGCCTGGCAGGTGCTCAGCTGTCGTGAGACGTTGAATAATGTTTGAAGAAGAGGCCGTTTCCTTTTCACGGGGTCTGATTAGACTGATGGTTCTGGCTCGACTGTTGTCCGGGGCTGAGGCCACATGGCAGGCAGCTAGCCCTGCCCTCAGCTTCTCTCCCACGCCCTATTTCATGCCCACGTCCCGGGACCCAGGCGGGCGAGAGGCAGACCTTTCCAGTAAGTCTGAGGACAGGGTGGATGGAGCTACAATATGGACTCCAGCCAGGGGAGCTGGAGGGTGAGGTGAAGGTGAGGAGAAAGGGTTTGGTTCCTTCATAGTCCAGCCCAGAAGTGCCATTGGCCGTGGGGGAGGGGAGAAAAGACCACAAAGAAGTTTCCAGAAGATCCCTAAGGCAGTCCTCTGCTGCCGGCAAGCAGGAGTCCTGGGGTCTCTGGTTAGATGCTCCACACACACATTCTCTGGGATCCAGTGACCACCCAGCCCGCGGAACCACTCGCTTCACGGGAGACGCTGGGGTGGGGCAGAGTGAGGCCGGGACCTGTCCTCAGCCCCCCAAGCACCGGAGCGCGGGGGCCGGGCCTGCGGGGAGGCCGCACCGTGTTCTAAGACATTTCTAGGATGAACAGAGTCCTCTCACCAACTGGGACCCCTGCCCCGACTCCGGCCCCCAGGCGCTCTCTCGTGCTGACCACCTGGGCTCAGACCTGCCCCGCTGAGCCGTGATGATGGTCTGAGAGCGTCTGGGGAGTCATTTGTCTTTTCTCGGCCAGACCGCAAGCCAGTGTGGGGCTGAGACCAAGTCCTCAGCAGAACGGAGTGCCCCTGATAGAACTGTCCAGCAAGAGGCGAGCAAGTGCCAGCCCCCTGAGATTAAGGACCCTCCAGAGTCCTTCCCAGGCTGAGCCCTACATCAGCCCTGAGAGGCAGGGAGAGCAGGCAGGCACGGACTGGTCCCAGGCCACAGAGCTGAACCCCCACCTCCGCTCCCGCTAAAGGGCGTCTAGGTAAGGCACCGGCTCTGCTCATCTGCTCCGTCATGGAATGGGCCCATGGGAGTGTCTAAATTCTGTCCTTGCAGAGGGGGAGGGGACTCCACAGCCGTCCCCTCTTCCAGGGGCTCTGGGCACAACATATTTAGAATTCCAGCTAGGGCCTGGGCAGCCATTTGTCCCTACTCACCAGGTCCTCCAGGTTGTAGTTGATGATGAAGTCCATGTCCAGGGTTAAGGGGTAGTTCATAGCTGTAGCTGTTTGTCCCCAAACTGGCCACTCGTGGTCTGATGCTGAGAAACTTGCAGGCGGCACCTATAGGAAGGTGGCAGCCGACAGGTGCAAATTTAAGCAAATGAGCCGTGCGCAGTCGCCCGGGCGGGCCAGGCTGCGTAGGACCCACTGCCTGCCTCACAGCTCATCACTTTTTTTCCACTGGGTCTTTCTGTGTGTGTGTGTGTGTGTGTGTGTGTGTGTGTTCGCGTGTGTTTTTTTTAAGAGAGGGAAAATCCCCGCAGCCTTTGTGCTAGTCAAGCATTTCAGCTTCTTTCCTGGCAATCGCTGTCTCATTCGGGGCGTGTGATTTGTTGAAAGGCTGCCCCGCACTTCTCCCTGGACCTCCACCAGCTCCCATCAGGGAGTGTACCTTGTAATGAAAACCACACCAGTTCGTGGGGCAACGAGGGAAACTCCACAGAGACAGAGAACAGGAAAGCCCTCCCAGGACCACTCCTCCAAGCCATGGCCCAACCTGCGTCTTCTCGCCACCAGGGAGCCCGATCACCCAGTGCGCCTGGGACTGAAAGTCCCTTGTCCTGGGAAACCCCTAAGTCCTAGGCAAACTGGGACCCTGGCCCACCCTACTTGCCACCATCCTTTTGTCGAGGCTGAGAGAAAACCCATTCCTTCTTTATTTTTTTTTAAAATATATTTTTATTGATTCCAGAGAGGAAGGGAGAGGGAGAGAGAGAGAAACATCAATGATGAGGGAGAATCACTGATTGGCTGCCTCCTGCATGGCCCCTACTGGGGATCGAGCCCACAGCCCGAGCATGTGCCCTTGGCTGGAACTGAACCCAGCACCTTTCGGTCTGCAGGCCGACGCTCTATCCACTGAGCCAAGCCCTCTTTAGCTCAAGTTTAGAAGAAATAGGTGAGACATTTTCAAAGGGAAAAACACCAAAATATTAGTAGAGGACAAAAATGGAATTATCCAAATTACCAAAGCACGAAAACAAAAACAGCCACAGAGCTATTTTCTGACTAAAAAAAAAATAATAATGTGCTAGCTAAAAATGAAGTTGGTTGGCATCTAAATTATTAACATCCTGGAATGACTACCAGCTAGAGTAGATTTTACTCAGAAGGACCCGAGGCCGAGGAGAGTGCTGTCCCCAGGACCGCCCCCCCATTCCTGCGCTCCAATCCATTGACATATTCACCTTAGCCTTTGCCACTCCAAGGACATTGATCAGGAAGGAATATAGGATATAAAACCATGTAGGAATTAGATGATTCGTATAGGAAATACAAGATTCTTGTCACTCCGTCCTCACCAGACGGTCACCAGCATTGAACAAACACCATCACCTGTTCCTTCCAAGAGCCGGTGTGTTCCTGTGGGAAGATGGAATCGTCAGACACGCGCCCCTCACGCCGAGTCCGAGCATGTCTCCCTGTCACGCATCTCCAGGGCCCTGGCTCTGCCTCACGTGCAGGCGTCTAACTCCTCTTCGCAGAAGCATCCTCTGGAGCCAGTTGTTGCCTCCTCACTAGACTTCTCACGCGCACCCTCCCGGGCCCTCGGCCAGCCTTCAGGGGACCTGGCTTCCGGCCCTCAGCAGCCTGTGCTTGGACATCGGGGTGATTTGAGGTTAATGGTTGACATCTGACCAGGACAAAATAGAGGAAGATAACAGTTTTCTTACTGAAGATCTGAGCTTATGTCACTGCAGTTAAGATGGGCTTCCTGTGGCTCTCGCCTGCCTTGGCAACATGCCTAGCACACGCCGTGTGACGGTTCCAGTCCATCATGTTGGCTTAGAAAGAGCAACTTTTTAAAAATATATTTGTATTGATCTCAGAGAGGAAGGGAGAGGGAGAGAGAGAAACATCAATGAGAGAGAGAATCATTCATCGGCTGCCTCCTGTCGATCGAGCCCACAACCCGGGCATGTGCCCTGACCTCCTCGTTCATAGGCCGACACTCAACCGCTGAGCACCTCCAGCCGGGCTCCTAATGCGTCTTGTACCAGGGACCCATCACGGTGTCCCTTCCTGTCTCTGAAGATGCTGGCACATTCAATCGACAGCTTCCCAAGGCCCACTTGCCCCAGGCACTGACTTGCTGGCCAACTCAGTTTGCCCTCAATAGGCAAATGCCTAGTGACCACGAGTTCTAATGGTGCTGTGCGGGGTGGGGAGCATTTCTTCTGCCAAGGGCCACTGGATATTTATAACATCGTTCGTGGCCCACACAGAATTATCAACTTAAAAACTAGCCTGCCGCGTGTGGTTAAACATTTAATTCACTCTCCCGAACGCCTCGGCAGGGCCAGACCCAATGACTTTGCGGGCCTGCTGTGGCCCGAGGGCCGGACGTTCCCCACTCCTGCTTCAGAAGATTCAGAGAATAACTGCTGCGTTGGAAAAGATGATTCTATCATCTTCAAACCCAAAGCCAGACTAGCCCCCTGGCATAGAGGGGCAGTGCCTAGGGTGTGACCTTCCCTCGAAAGAGGAGAAGGAAGGACCCCGCCCCGTGTGTCGTCAGCTGGAGGGTGCTTCCAGGGGCGGCAGCCCGGATGTTACCTCAAATGCAACCTGGTTATATTTTCACTCTGTGAGCTCCCACCCCGCTCGCCGACAGCCCACCGGAGGCGAGGCTGTCCCCGGCTCCTCTTCAGAGTGGCACGGGGTGTCAAGCCCCAGGTGGCCGGCTGCTGAGCGGCGGCCCGGTGGGTTTTTCTCTGTAATTTTACTCCGAAGGCCAGGGACTATATTATGTTTCTGTTCATTGAAGATACTTGCTGCCATCACTAGTCTTGGGGTTCATTTCCCATCTTCTACATAAAAATTAGGTTTTTCTCGGAGTGTTCCTTTCACTGACTTGGGCCTCTCTCTCTCTCTCTCTCTCTCTCTCTCTCTCTCTCTAACTGGGTGGAGATCTTGTTCTCTTTTTCCTCGGGGGCTTTCACAGCCGCTCAGAACAGAGCCCCTGGTCCCCACCTGAGCAGCGCTCAGCCTGGAAGTGTCGGGCGTTCCTCTAGGCCCCCGAAAGGATAACAGTAATATTAACATAGCATTTACCTATCTACAAAGGCCTACAATTTTTAACTTTAGTTTTACCTAATCTTCATATTTAATTTAATATTTAATTATATTTAATCCTCAAATGCCTCGTGCAGGAGGTCCTGGCACCATCCCTGGCCATACTTTTTTTTTTAAAAAAAAAATATTTTTATTGATTTCAGAGTGGAAGGAAGAGGGAGAAAGAGATAGAAACATCAATGATGAGAGAGAATCAATGATGAGAGAGAATCATTGATCGGCTGCCTCCTGCACGCCCCTATCGGGGATCGAGCCTGCACCCCAGGCATGTGCCCTGACCCAGGAATCGAACCGTGACTTCCTGGCTCATAGGTCAATGCTCAACCACTGAGCCACACTGGGCGGTCCCTGGCCACGCTTTGAAGAATATTTTCATTTTTATTTTTGACACTCTTACAGGTGCCCCCCATTTCCTGGCCGCACTTTTGAGGGGCTGAGGAAAGGGGCTCAGCTCCCCACTCAGGATGATGGGAGCGTGATCGCAGAGCAGGGTCCGAGGCCCCGCCCCCCCCCACCGCACAACGTGCTCCTGCAGATTTCGTTTTGCAAAGGACGGCACCTGCCCGGCTGGCAGGGCAGCGCTGCCCACGCCCCGTGGGCTGTGGACCAGGTGCTGCGTGTGCCTGACCTGTGCTGAGCTCTTCACACTCCTCGCTTCCTCTCACCGCGGCCGCCCCTGCGCGGTATTTTGATCACATCGTCGCACCTGTGGGAACTGATCAGCAGTGGGAAGCAGTTGTGAGTGTGAACAGCTCCCGCAGACACCAGAGACCCAGAAGCCCATGCAAAACACAGGAAGTGGAGGGCACAGCTCTCAGGGCTGGGCGCCCACACCCACGCTGGCGCCTCTCTTGTAGGTAACAGGTAGGAGTCCGCGGGGAGGGAGGAAATGGGCCGCAGGTGCAGGAGACACAAGTTTACCTCAAGGTCATAGGGGCCACGGGTGCGTCTGGAGGCCAGACCCCGAGTCTGCCGCATGGCCAGGGTTAGGGAGCCAGTCGGGTGCTTGTGTCCTGAGGACAGCGGAGTGGCTGGAGCAGGGATGGGAAGGTCAAGGAGGTGGGACTCAGGCTCTGTCCTTGGAGCATTTTGTCTAACAGAGGAGGACAGACACATGGATGCAAGTCAGCACACTCATGGACACAGGCAAGTTGAGGACCCTTTCATTTTATTTATTTTTTTATTGATTTCAGAGAAGAGGGAGAGGGAGAGAGAGAGAAACATCAATGACGAAAATCATTGACTGGCTGCCTCCTGCAGGCCCCCCACTGGGGATTGAGCCCACAACCCGGGCAGGTGCCCTGCCCGGAAATTGAACCCTGACCTCCTGGTTCCTAGGTTGATGCTCAACCACTGAGCCACGCTGGCCGGGCCACACACATGCTTTCTCAAAGGGGCCTGGAAAGGAAGTGCAGGCAGGACGCGGGGAAGGGAGGTGCACAGGTACAGGCATATCTGGGGAGGGGCAGGAGGGCAGTGGGCTGGGCTGGAGCGAGGAAGACCTGAGGAGGATGGAGCCCATGGGGGTGTGCTGCACTTCAACTCCCCAAACCACCGACTACTTGCCTGCTAAGTGCTGGGGTGGAGCCGCGAACAAGACAGGCCTAGTGACTGTCGCTATGACGGCTCCTTCCGTCACTGAACAGGTACTTCCTCCATCAGCCGTCAGCTCCATGACATCCGCGCACTGGGCCAGGGGCTAGAAAAGTAGCGAGACACAAAGCTGAGCATGGCGCCTGCCCCATCATAGCTCACGGTCTGGAGAGGAGGCGGCGTTCATGACAACCTATCGCTATAAAATTCTGGGGGTGCTCTGAAGGAAAAGAACAGGGTGCCGCCCGGCCGCCGTGGCTCAGGGGTTGAGCATCGACCTATGAACCAGGAGGTCGGGGTTTGATTCCCTGTCGGGGCACATGCCCGGGTGCGGGCTCCTTCCCCAGTAGGGGCGTGCAGGAGGCAGCCGATCCGTGATTCTTCTCATCATTGATGTTTCTCTCTCTCTCTCCTCCCTTCCTCTCTGAAATAAAAATATATATATATATTTATTAAAAACAAACAAACACAAAAAACAGGGTGCCAA